TCAGCAAGAAACACCTAAAAACGATTAACCCTGGGGAAGTTAATTTAATCAAAAAAAATTATAAAAAAATTAAATGCCTCTATGAACATTTTCTAAACCAATCTCCAGCATTTCGTAAGACCTGTGCTGCATGCCAGGAAATTGTCCATTTTACAAAAGCATGCAAAGCTTTGAAAAGTGAAGATGATCCTCAAAATGTTGTTGCAAAAAGTGGTTACACAATGAAGAAAAAGGTACGAGAAGTCAAATATGAAGAAGCATATGACTCTGATGGCGAGGGTATCCAAGATGAAGTGTTATTTATAAATGAATGCTGTACTAAAAATGAAAAACGAGCATGGTCTGAGGTATTTTGTGTCGAAGATACAGAGGTAAAATTTGAACATGACACACGAGCGGACTGTAGTATTTTACCCATTAACACCTATTTAAAAATTTCTTGTCCTGAACCAATGACACAAACAAATGTTACCTTATTGTCTTACGGTAATTTTAGGTTAAAATCTGTAGGTCCTATTACTTTAAAATGTTACTACAAGAATATGTGTCATGATGTTAAGTTTGTAATAGTAGATTCTAATACTCAACCTCTTCTTAGTCTCGAAGATTGTCTCAAGTTTGGCTGATTTTCCCGAATTAATAAAGTTGGAATTTTACCAAAAACCAAAAAGCAAATTTATATGTCATTCCAAAAAGTTTTTGAAGGTCCAGAAAAAATTCCTGGTCTCAGCTCTATTAAGCTGATAGATAATGCTAAACCTGTATACAAGCCTACCGTAAAATACCATTGTCATTGCACAAAAAATTAACAGAAATTTTAGATACTCTTCAAAACAAGAATATAATTTAAAAAGTTGAATATCCGACCCAATGGGTAAATAGTATTTTATTAGTTGAAAAGCCAGATAAATCTTTAAGGTTGTGCACTGATCCGAAACCATTAAACAAAATTTGTAGGGAACATTTTGTTATACCGACAACTAACGATATTATTTGCAGGTTGCCAGGCAAATCAGTCTTCAGTGTTATTGACATGAAAAATGGATTTTGACATTTGCAACTGGATGGTAAAAGTGCAGATATTTGTGTTTTTAACACGCCTTTTGGAAGGTATTGCTTTAACAGAGTCCCTTTTGGAATTTCAAGTGCTCCAGAAATATTCCAACGCAAAAATTTTGAAATCTTTGCTGATATTCCTGGACTGGAAATATATTTTGACCTTATTATTTCAGGGGTTGATGAGGCAAGTCATGATAAAACCCTTAAAGAGGTTCTTCATAGAGCACTCAAAAACAATGTTAAGTTTAATTTTAAAAAATTTCAGTAAAAACTGGACAAGGTAACATTTTTGGGACAAGAAATTTCAAAGGACAGTGTGAAGCCAGATATTTCAAACATTAAAGCTATTGAAGTTTTGAGAATTTTAGGGCTTTTAAAATTTTTTGCTAGGTTTATACCAAATCTTTCCCAACTAACTACAAATATGCGCAATTTGACAAAAAATTATGTGGCGTTTGAATGGACAGAGAGGCACATGAAAAAGAACTTCAAAATCTAAAATATATCATATCTCAAAAGAACCGGTTTTCAAAATTTTTGATCCAAATATTCCAATGTGATGCGTCCAGTGAAGCATTTGGTTGTTGTTTACTTCAAAATGATCACCCAATTGTTTACGCTTCAAGATGCTTTACAAAATCCGAAAAGAAAAGTATCTGCGAGACTCAACGAATGCTGTTGAAATTACTCGTATACAATATCAAAATTACATATTTACCTGGCAGAGATATGGTTATCGCAGACACTTTGTCTAGTGCATATATTAAAGATGACGTACAAGATGACTCTGAAATGGCTTATATTGTGCACACTTTGTCCAATGACATTTCTATGCCCAAAGAAAAAAAAAGAATATATTTAGAAAGAAAATCGAGTTTAGATCCTATCTTTTCAAAAGTGAAGCAATATTGTCAAACTTCTTGGCCTAGAAAAGACAAAAATCTACTTTTAGAAATGAAACAGTACTTAATAATTTTATTTTTTGATAATAAAATAATTCCAGAGTCGCTTAAATCTGACATGCTTCAAAAAATTCATAAGACACATTTTGGCATTTCAAAATCCAAATTGAGAGCGCATCAACTCCTTTATTGGCCCGGCATATCTAAAGATATTAAAGATTATGTTCAAAATTGTGAAACATGTCAGTTAAATCAAAAGGAGGCGTTCATTTCACATGATCCACCTTTCTAGACCATGGCAGTTTGTTCATTCCGATTTTTTTGAATTTAAGGGGAAAAACTATCTTGTATTGGTCGACGCCTTTTCTAATTGGATTGAAGTAACCCCTACAAAAACAAAAACTTCTCGGGAATTAATACAAGTTTGCAAAAATAAATTTCAACAGTTCGGAATGCCTGATAATTTTTTTGCCATATAATTTCTAAGAATTTAAGTCATTTGCAAAATAATGGAATTTTGAGTTAGGCTTTAGCAGTCCTAATTACCATCAATCTAATGGACTGTCAGACAGATATGTGGGTAATGTTAAAAATATGCTCCAAAAGTATAAAAAAAGAGTCTGACCTGCCTCTTCTGGTACTGGAATACAACAATACTCCAACGCCTTGTTTAAAAAATTATTCTCCAAGTCAAATATTTTTAAATCAAACTACAAAAACCCAGATTCCAGTTTCTGCAAAAGCATTAAAACCCATCTTGATTGACAGTGGTGAAATAATAGTACATTATGATTGTCAAGTTTATAATATCTGCCTATAATATTTTCCCAATAAACCCAGAATTAATTCGTATTATGTTCGTATTCCTGCCTTTGTACTGTGTGAACCTGCACCGATATAATAGGAGGCCTGGTTAAGTCCCTCAGTTATACATTTCAAGAACAAATGGCTATGGTCCTAGAAGACCTCAAATTGTCCAATGCAGCATAAACTGGTAATGATTCAAAATTTGGAATATTCCCGGCTCTTGGTTGCCTTTAGGAAACTTGAACAGCGATTCAAGGGCCTGGAATAGTCCAAATTTGGAATTATTATTGGATCTTAAATGGCCATAGTCCTAAAATTCAAATTGTCCATAACATAAACTGGTAATGATTCAAAATTTTTAATATTCCTCCGATTAGCAATTTCCCAGCTGTGAAGCATCAAAGCATTTGCTTTACAAATAGAAGGAAACTTTTCATTAATTTTTTCCCAAATTTAAATCTTTTTTCAAACATTTTTTTCCTCCTTGCCTAGTAAACTTGAAAAACTGTTATCTAACTCAATAATCCCTTATATGGCTCCTCTAATCCCAAATACATATAAATAAATCCAATCATCTTCTTCTAAATCAATATTCGCACTCCTACCTCTCAGCCAATGCGAAATAATTCAAAAAGGTTAATAACATTTATCGATTCCACTACTTAGAAGATCGCCGAAGACAATATTTTTTTGTCTATTTCCCTTTCACTTGTCCTAAGACAAAAACACGAAACGCTCTGTTCATTTATAATAGGCATTGTGTACCAGATTAAACCCGCGAATGGTATTATAAGAAGGTAACCTTGTGGCAAATCAATGACCTGATCTAGGCTATATGGTATAAGATTATAGAAGCAAAACGTTTAAATGGTAATTTATTTGATATTAACCACCCGGAGAGGGGAATGGCCAAGCAAAACGAAGAGAAAACAAGTTTCGGATTGATATTTTACACAGGATATCGGATCATTAATTTACCTAATACGTGTGGATTGTAGTATTTGCTAACTTTATTATAGGTTGGAAATATTGCAAAAGATTTTTAAATCTCTTTCTTTATATAATAACAACTAATTTCCGCTAAACTGAAATTAAATCCCATCAATTAATCAAGCAGTCAACTAAAACAATTACTGGCCGGGTACCGCATCGCCACATCTCTCCGGTACCACCGGTAGCGGCGACAGAGGAACCCGCCAACCTTGACTTCAACTACTGTCCGAATAAATTATGTTACAGCAGATCTTGGCGCGCAAAAATCTTACCTTGTAATAAACGGCATTATCCTCGTATCCTTCATCTTCAAAGTCGTCGTGACAAAAATGTTGATCGGGCGATTGCTGGTAGCTTTTCACTAAATCACTCACGTATTCCCATACGCCTCCGCTATCGCCTTCTGGCCAGTTATCACCCAATATCCGTACCATTTTAACCCTAGCTTAGCTCGACATCGACTATTATTTGGTGTCTATGAGTGGGTTTTACCCTTATTATTATGAATCACCTTTAAACTAGCCCTTGATTTAATTCATTCACCCCTATTAGGTTTCTTTTTTAAGGTGACACGCACTTCATACAATTTCAAATACATTAGTCAATTTCTAAAAATAGTAGCCATCAATGCTAATGCTGAACAACTCTGATAATTGAAAATCTTGGCGCAAAATATTGTTGTTTGTGTTTTAACAGGATATTACAAAAGCTATAATTAAATTTTTATTCTAAAACTAGCACTATAGAAAAGTAATAATAACAACAAACTTGTATCAATAATACATAATAATTAATCACACAATCGAGATCAATGAGATTTTCAAGAATTAATTTCGCACTAACAAGATTATTTTCTCGCACCGAAAATTTTTAAGTACCAGTGGTGTTATATTGGTACCAATAAACCGCGAAAATAAACGACTTAAAACAACGCACCCGACCCCGCAAGCAAAACAAATATAATGCCGGCACGGTTTAACCGGATTTACATTAAATAATTATATGTACTAACTACTCTGTAGAGAAGGCGGGCATTTGTGCTGATTCGATTCAAGGACAGAGCCACCACTATTTTTAAACTCTTTTTTTTTTAATGTTTTGATGATGGCCGTTCCAAGTATTTTATGTGGGATGAAATAAGCCTCAATAATATAATAGTAAACTATTGAGATTGTAAAAAAAGCAATATTGCAAAAATAAAAACACAATATACTAATTTATATTTGGACCAATAATTACCTTCCTAGTCTTCTTCTTAACCTTCACCTTCTTTTTACTGGTCCTAGTCTCAGTCGTTTTTGCATTTTTATCAACCTTGTCTTCATCAACCGCCACACTTTTAAGGGGCAAATCTTTGGAGCTCCGCAATTTTCCGACAACAGCATCTTTCTGTCTCAATTTTACCGTTGTATTAGTATTTGATTTGTTAAATTTTGTGCTATCTCTGCTACTAGAATTTTCATTTGGCGGCTTAGTTTTTGCTTCATTAGACAATCTCAATTTTGGAACTGGCGAGCTATTACTACTTATTGGTCTTTGTTTTACCAATAAAGGACTTTGCTTGGCTTTAGGTTTACTAGGCAATGGAGCAACTTTTTTGGTGCACTTCTGAGTTATTTTAACTTCACTTATATCAGAATCATCAGTGTCAGAATCACTCGAACAACTGCTACTACTAGTGGTACTTTTTTTGTTGCCTTTAACTTTTTTAGGCACCATAATTTTTTTGGCTGTAGCAACAGGACTAGGGGCGTTTTTTCTTATTGTAGCTATAGTCAGCCTTAGTCCGTTGGTTTGCGAACTAGTTACTGAAAATTCAGGACTTGGAGATCTTGAAGACGACTCTTGAGAGCTAGAGGAGCTGTCACTATCTGAACTATCACTGCAAGACTCTTGAGACGCTTCACTATTGTCAGAATTCTATAAAAATATTTTTGCTTAAAAATAAAAATAATCAAAAAGAAAAATCCTTACGCTAGAGTCGGCTTCAGAATCTTCACTTTCTGAGTCGGTGTCGAGGTTGTTTTGGGTAGGAGCGGGGTCAGGAGGCTCGGCACTGAGCGCTCCAATGTCCACTGTAGAAGGTAGTTCGGATTCTTCGGGTTCATCTTCGGGCTGGTGCACCACTGACGACCAGCCGGTGAATAGTTCAGTTGTGGCACCGTCATTTGTTGCCATTCTGAAATAGAATGATAAATCTTGAACCATGTATTGTCATTCTCAAATAGAGAGTTTCTTGTGTGAGAAATGGGTACTTTTGGTCTTCTATTGAACTTAACAAGTGAAAAAGTCACATTTACATAAATGCAACAAAAAATTGAATACATAAGAACGAGGGGTTATTCACAACTGAATATTCTGTGTACACCCTGCAGCAGATATCTAAAACTGTTCAGGGAAATCTAGGGAGGTTTAGAGAAAACCGGGAAGATAAAGGTTGGCAAAACCCCAAATTTTTGGATACATATTTCTATTGGGGTTTTGTGGTAGTTTTTGTAGGATTTTGGGTTTACTAAACTTGACAAAATTGTATATTTAGTTATTAGTCAACTTTGGACTTTGTTTTAGTAGTCCTAAAGCAAAAATGTTTTTCTCTATTGACTATCTCCGTCCTTTTGATGCAACTTTTTGCTATTTTAACTGACTCATGATAAAGTTAAATCACTGTTCAATCAACTTGGTTTTCATGAAAAGTCCTGTTTCTGCAAACTTATTCCTACTTTGAAATCTCCACCACTAGGTCCAATTAAACAGCTAGTTTTTTTAAAATGACGGTTGCATACTCTATAATTGGTCCATCGAGAAAAGTTTTTGGTTACTAACATTTTGCAGCCATATATTAAACATCTCAATAGAGAGCAATTTATCAGTAGATATACTAAGCCGGTCCTACAGAGGAAGTTATATAGGTATTGACAGCAACACATAATATGTATTATAATATAATGATAACCTGTATAAAACCCAATGACATTGATAAAATACCCGCCTATGCCCTTTTTCTTCATGAAACCAGCATAGGACGGCTTAGGACTTTTAGTATGTTGTTCAGTAAACTGAATAGAATATCTTCACCAAATTTCAGATTTACATAAATTTTTTTTTGGGTCAAACCCTAATATGACTGGCCTACTTTATGAATAAATTTTTGAAAGCTCACTGGATTTTTGTCAATATTGATGGTTGATTTTTGTGTCAAAACCCCCATGGGGTTTTGTGTAGAGGCCAACCCTAGGGGCGTTTCAGGAAAATCTGAAAGAAATCTGGGAAATCTGAGGGAAATCTTAATTAGCAGTTCAGAATTTAATTTTATATTGATTGAGAACATTAGAGAGGATGTTATGCTATCAGATTTCTCACTGAAATAAAAATATTATACTTCATATTATAATGAATGTAGCTTTGACATTGCCAGGAAAATAATAGATCAAGAGAAAATGTACATGCTGTTTTAAAGAGAAGATCTGGGGATTTGTGTTCTGGCTGTGCAATTTGTGCTGATATTCTATGAAATCCCTGAAAAATTAGGGAGATCTAGCGAAGGGAGATTTAAGGAAATTTGAAGAAATCTTAGACGGATCCTGAATAATTTGTGGATATCTTTTGCGTGAAGATATCTCTTGTGAATATGTTATGACACCTCCGAGGGGTTAATCTAAAGGTATTTCCCTAGTATTATCACATATCACCAGATATTGCCATGACTAAAGTCAAATATTTGTCTTGCCAGAATTCTAGGTATTGACATATCCACAGGTATTTACATGTCTTTAATGGGTATCAACCAATGACTTTAACATATATTGCCTAGATATCTACAAGTATTGAGATATATTACCTACATAATTAACAAGTAGGTATTGCATAGTATTGACACTATTGACATAATACCTATTTACCTGGTATCAACATATTAACCAGTGATTTGTACACTGATTAACAAGATGAAAAACCCCTCGGACACCTCCTTGCATAAGAAATACTGTTTTTCAACTGCAGTTGAAGGTCCAAGATTGTCGTTGACATAAAACAGAATATTTTACTTGACAAGAGCAGAAAGTGCTTATTTCATGTTAAATTACTGTGGTAAGTGATTTGTTACCTCTGTATTTGCTCAGTACCCAACTAGTGCAGAAAATTTCTTTTTCCTACTAACTAGTGAAAAATTGAATATAAAAAAACAAAGCTGAAAAATATTAATTTCCACAAAAGCTGACTACAAAATTATATTTCAGGTAGAGTAGAAAATTAGTACCTTTAATGTCAGTACCTATTTGACAAAGCTGGCAAAAGTACCTACATTACAGAAGTACAAGTTTTTTTAAAATTATGCTTTGATTATCAAGTAAACTTGAAACTTACTTGGATCAAGATCAACAAATTTACAGCCCTGCATGCAAGTACATGCAGAAAATACTTCAAGTAAAATACCTCATATAATCATATATTGGTAGCTAGTACAAGTCGAGGTATAAGTACATAACAAAAAAAGTAATTCAAGTAAAATACTTAAAGTACCTATGCACTTGAAGTAAAATTACAAGTAGGTAAAAGTATTGACAACTCTGGTATTTGCTGGCAATGCTGACTACAAAGATTGGAAAATGAGTACTGTCAGTGTCAGCAATTTAATGGGTTATTCTACTGAAAATCATCACGGTTATCGCAAAAGTTGACTACAAAATTATAATCCAATTATACAGTAGACAATGAATACTTTCTGTGTGAGTATTTGAAGGGTAATTCTATTAAGTCATTCTATCATAATTGCTGACTACAAAATTATACTCCAGCATCCAAAGATAGAGTGGAAAATAAATGAGTTATGTCAGTGTCAGCATTTATTGAGCAATGTTAGGTACTTTCTGGAAACCATCAAATTTAATGACTACACCTTTTGTATTTCAGAAAAAGTCATTTGTATTTCAGAAAACGTCATTTGGGGTTCAGGTTATTTATTTCTAGTTCAGAAATTGTAATTTGTGTTCCAGAATTTGTCAAATGTATTTCAGATGTTATCAAGGTAGTGTATTAAATAAAATTTAGAATGGGGTGGGAAAATCTGCATAGGTACTTATGATGATTTCTGAACTACACTTGACAAAGTTGTCATATAATTCAATATAATTCACGTTTTCTGGAATATAATTGACACTTTCTGAAATAAAATACACTAATCTGAAATACATTTGACTCTTTCCAATATAATAGGTCTGTTTCTGCAGAAATCACAAACCAGTCAGAGTGAATTTCATTGGTTGAAACTAGTTTTCTGACTGTTTTCAACCAATGAAATTCGCTCTGACTGGTTAGTAATTTCTGCAGAAACAGACCTATTATTAACTAATCTGAGATACAACTGACACTTCCTGAAATAAAATTGCAATTTACACTTTTTAAAACTGACAGTCTCTGAAATACATATATAAAGTTGTAGGAGATTGTAATAAGAGTATCAGGTGATTATCTATAATGTCGATGCAAAATATTATTTTGCACCAATCTCACCTGTTTGAAGAAATACCCAGAAATGTGGAATGTGAATGTTGTAGGTGATAGGTATGTTTCTGCAAGAATCACAAACCAGTCAGAGTGAATTTCATTGGTTGAAAACAGTCAGAAACAGTCAGAAAACTAGTTTCAATCAATGAAATTTACTCTGAAGGGTTTGTGATTTCTGCAGAAACAGACCTTATATCAGAAAGTTTCAATGAAGTTATTTACAAGTTTACAGGGTGTGTGACACGGCAAAGTTAAACTTTTTCAAATGGAACACCCTGTATATTATTGACCCATTAGTTCTTTTCAAGTGGCTCTGGTTTAATTAACCGGGTTACAAAATGGTTAGAGAAATGACATACCGTTTTCTAACCCAGTTACAAAGTGACGTGATGGATATCTACCACTCGAATTTGAGCGGTATGTTGCGGTTTGTTCGAGGGTTTGTTAAACCGGAGCCACATGAAAAGGATTATTGGATTAGCCTATATTAGGTTTTTTTAGGTTTATAGTCCGGGAGAAAAAGGGGTAGAATAATTGCATTTTATTGAATAAGGTGAAGTATAGATGAGACAACCAGCAAAATATAAAAGTAATCATTCAAGTAAAAAATCCATATTATTTCTTCAAAATGGAATATTCAGAGTCTGTACTATGAGGAATAAATCTAAAAAAGCTAGTATATTTGGAATCAGGTTGAAAGGCTAATCCAATAGGTCAATAATATACGAGGTGCTCTATTCAAAAAAGTATAACTTTGCTTTGCCACACTTTTATGACACACCCTGTATACTTGTAACTAAATTCATTGCAAAGTTTCTGATACTTACAAGTTCATTGCTTATAACTTTCACATTTGACATTTCTGGGTATCTCTTCAAACAGGGTAAGATAGGTGTGAGTCAAGGTTGTTTGAAAGAGGTAGGTTGCCTGCAAGGTTGTTTGAGAGAGGTAGGTTGCCTAATAACTTTTATGACGTCATCTGGGGTGCCTCAACATAATGCAAATTTCCATAAGGCTCCCCAGATGATATTATCAAGTTACCCATTACCAGACAACCTTTTAACTTTAGGAACCTTGGGTTGCCTGATAACTTTTAGACGTCATCAAGGGTGCCTAAGCATAATGCCAATCTCCATTGGTCATCTGTTTCTCATTTCCAGACCAAGGTTCCTAAAGTTAATAGGTGGCCTGGTAAAGGGTAACTTGACTATGCATCTGGGGTGCCTTATGGAGATTTGGATTATGTCGAGGCACCCCAGATGACGTCATAAAATTATCAGGCAACCTACCTCTCTCGAACAACCTTGTTTCCAGACGACTATTAGACTATCCAAGATACTGTCAAACTTAAATTAAAATGTCCGCCAAGAGGCACACAAATCTTTTTGTTTGCTTGTCAAAGTCACATGTTTTGGATAGGCTAATTGGTGTATAACCATTGCTGACGTCATTAACTAAGTCGTCAGCTGTTTGCATTATCCTTAGTGTATGGGTGCAAAATATAGTAGAGTACTGTTTGTCAGTGTCAGTATTTGAATGGTACTTGATTTTAAAAAAAATATATCACAAATGCTGAGTGCTGACTAGAAAATTATAATCCAGCATCCAAGTATAGAGTGGAAAATGAGTACCTACTGATAGACAGTGTCAGCATTTATTGGGTAATATTACTGAAAATATGTTATCATAAATGCTGACTACATATCAAAACCAAATATTGACAAAACAATTCCAGCAGAGTCCAGCATTCAAGTATAGAGTGAAAAATGAATACTGTCAGAAATCATTTAGGTAGGTCATTATGTTTTCTTACATAAAAATCAAATTATTTATTATTATTGTAGTTGTCAGCACGAAAACTGACTCACTCTTTACTGAACTAGTGCAGAAAGTGCTGTTTTTCTTGCAGCTGTAGATAAATAATCCTTTATTCCATTAGAAAAATAACTAACAGCAAAATTACTTATCTAGTACGGAAAGTAAGTAATTCCAGCACATCTCGGAATTTTCAACTTACCATAGTACTTATGTCAATAAATAAAGCGGGACTAGTTTTTTTTTTTGAATTTGGCGCTAAAACAGCAACAATGCAAGCGCCATATTGTGTACCTACCTTAGAGCTTTTCCTCTACAATCTACAGTTTTCCTAATAATCTACAGCAAATATCGTGCAAAATCCCTGAAATACTTACTCGTTACGTTATGCAGATCATTTTAACACTAAATTAACACCAGAAAACCCGAATGGAAAAAGTCAATTTCCATTTTTATATTTCAGTTCAGTAAACAAAATGGCTCCCAGCTGATGTAGCACCTCATTATCAGCATTTTTGCAGGTTCGGCCTTAGACGACGACCTTAAATTATTATCGAAACGATCATTTATCAATAAAACAATACACAGAACCGAAACTTTATTATTTATATTTATTTTTCAGTATATTTATTTGTTGGTAGAGTCGACAGTTGCGCAACCGAAACGCCAGCAACCGAAAAACTAGAGCGATCGCGACGTTGCCAACTCTATTCGGAGCCAAATAACGGTAATAAACTGGTTTTTTTGTTTTCCATTTTAATTGGTATTTAACGTTTATGTGTTTTTTTATTATTTTGGTATTAAATTTTGGGAAGAAATAATGGGAATTCGGCTTTTTGATTTTGGCGCCATTATCGATTTCGTCCTACTATAGTTTTTTTGAGTCAAATGGATAAATCTGTAATGTCGATAAAGAAGATTTCTGTTACTGTTTTGGCCTACTCTAATTGCTTTTGTAATTATTATAAGAAAATGGGTTTAATTTAATGATTGCAATGATAATTATCAACATATAAGTACTCTTTTGCCTCAATTTTTTATTTTATTATCAAAACATCCAGAGAGAATTTGGTTCCAGAACATCCAGAACTGCTCAGAGTAGATCCAAGCTTCTGGGAAGTACCAAGATTTCATAATATTCTGCTATTCTATCTCAAAAACAAAAAAAAACTAATATACATTTATAGGTAAATTTATATTACATATACCTACATTAACCGTGTATAATTACCTAAACCTTAACTCAGTCATATAAATACTTGTTTGGTACCATATTATTATCACAAAAGCAAATAAATACCCCAGTCTTACATTGAATATAAAGGCAAGTCCTATTCCCTATTCCGTCTTTAGATGTCTCTTACGGTGTCCAGAAAGTTGCCCAGATTGCTTAAATCTTAAACCAAAATTTAAAAAAAAATCTTACACAAAACACTGAAAATTACCTGGCACCACAAACGTGACACTGATAAGGTGTTTCGCCAGTGTGAATCCGAATGTGACTCTTCAGGGTTCTGGGATCCCCAAAAGCCCTGCTACAAGTGGGACAAACAAATTCCTTCAAACCTAGATGGGTTTTTTTGTGGTAGGCTAAATTGCTAGCTGTTTTGTAGCTTTTATCGCACTGATTGCAACTATAAGGTTTTTCTCCTAAAACTGTAATAATAGAAACAAATTTTTCTACAATCTGAATCCACCTGTATGTTTCCTTATATGAGTTTGTAAATCGGCAGATCTTGCAGATCTCCAGCCGCAATAGTCGCACTGATACTTTTTCTCGCCAGTGTGAGCTTTTTCGTGCGCAGTCAAAGAACACCGGCTGGTGAATCGTTTCTGGCACCATTTGCACTTGTAAGGTTTCTCCAAAGTGTGAGTTCTAATGTGAACTTTCAAATAAGAATTGCTGCTGAATTTGCTGTGGCATATGTTGCAAGCAAAGGGTTTTTCACCAGTGTGGATTCGCATGTGGGCAGTCAAGGAAAATCTATGTATAAATGTGGATCCACAAATTGCACAGTTGTGCTTTTTTTCTCCTTTGTGAATTTTCAAATGGTTGCCCAAACTGTGAGAGCCTGAGAGTTTCTTGTGGCAAATTTCGCATGTGTATGGTGTTTTGCTTGTGTGGGATCTTCTATGAATCTATGATATCAAAAATAATAATTTTTACATTGAGGATATAGAGATTAGCTTTCTGAAAGCAATCAAAAATAAATTCAATTTTGATTATTACTGGCTCTTGACTCACAATCAAGCATCAAGAGAACCTATATGAGGCAGAAATATGTGACAAGGGGCAAACCACCTAGAAATTCTTTGCCAAAAATGTGGGGAATTTGAAGGAACTCATGGGAATTTATGAGAATTTGGGGAATTTATAGGGAATTTGGAGAAATTTATGGGGAATTTGTGAGGAATTCATGAGGATTTTGAAGGAAATTGTAGGGTCATGACGTCACTGAGGTTCACATTCTTATTATAACAAACACTTATTGAAGGAAATTTGTGTTAGACTTTGAACATTCATTTTAATTAAAGAAATTTTCCCAAAATTTCACTTCATGATTTGCAGGTCCAAATTTAAAAAATTCAAAAGAATAATGAGTTACAGAGTTTTTGTAGGCTGATTTTCAAGATTCTTCATGTTATTATTTTCCACTGAAAAAATTTGAAATTTTGGGAAAATAAGCTTCTCACCTTTTTTCCCTCCACTAGTTTTCCAGGAAAACTTTGAAATATGTGAGCTCGTATGTGAGACTGTATTTTCAATTAATTCAGTTATTGTAAGTTGATTTCCAAGATTCTTCATGTTGTTATTTTCTACTGGAAAAATTTGAAATTCTAACCTTCCTCTTTACATGCAAAAAGTTTCAAATTTCTCCCTTCACTAGTTTTCCAGAAAAACTTTGAAATGTGTGAGACTGTATTTTTAATTAATCCAGTTTTTGTAAGTTGATGTCCAAGATTCCTCGTCGAGTTCCTTGTGTTGTTATTTTTTAACAGAACAATTTGAAATTCTGGGAAAATGAGCTTCTAACCTTCCCCTTTACATGCAAAAAGTTCCAAATTTTTCCCTTCACTAATTTTCAAGGAAAACTTTGAAATGTGTGAGACTGTATTTTCAATTAATTCAGTTTTTGTAAGTTGATTTCCAAGATTTTTCATGTTGTTATTTTCCGCCGGAAAAATTTAAAATTTTGGGAAAATGAGCTTCTAACCTTCCTCCTCGCCTTCCTCTTTATATGCATAAAGTTTCAAAATTTTCCCTTAATTAGTTTTCCAGGAAAACTTTGAATTGTGTGAAAGTGTAATTTTTTCAGTTTTTGTAAGTTAAATTCCATGATTATTCATGTTGTTATTTTCCAATGGAAAAATTTGAAATTATGGTAAAATGAGCCTCGAACCTTCCTCTTCACATGCAAAAAGTTTCAAATTTTTCCGTTCAATAGTTTTCCAGGCAAATTTTGCATTGTGTGAGACAGTATTTGTAATTAATTCAGTTATTGTAAGTTGATTTCCAAGATTCTTTATGTTATTATTTTCCACTGAAAAAATTTGAAATTTTGGGAAAAGGTTTCTCTAACCCGAGTTTTAACCTTCCTCTTCACATACAAAAAGTTTTAAATTTTTCCCTTCACTAATATTCCAGGAAAACTTTGAAATGTGTGAGACTGTATTTTCGATTAGTTCAGTTTTTATAGGTTGATTTTCAAGACTCTTCATGTTGCTATTTGCCACTGGAAAAAAATTGAAATCTCGGAAAAATGAGCCTCTAGCCTTCCTCTTTACATACAAAAAGTTTCATATTTTTCCCTTTACTAGTTTACCAGGAAAATTTTGAAATGCGTGAGACTGTATTTTCAATTAATTCAGTTATTGTAGGTTGATATCTAAGATTCCTCATGATGTTATTTTCTACTGGAAAAATTTGAATTGAATAATTGAAAAACATAATAAAAGTGAATATTTATTAGTTAGTTCTGAACTTCCAGCTACTTGGAAGATGATAAATTTATTTGTAATTTAGAGGAATTTGCGGGGAATTTAGAGGGATCTTTGGGGTATTTGGAGGAATTTGAAGGAATTTTGAGGAATTATGTGTAAAAAATTCCATTTCGAGGAATTGTTTGCACACCTTCGGAGATGGTGGTTTACCTCTTGATATGAGATTTTAAGGGAATATTTTTGAAGCTTAGAGGTGAAACATACTAAAAATTCAAATCATTTGAACGAAAAGTTACAAAGTTAAAAGATTTTCAAAAATGAACATTTTCTTCTATAGGACATGCTTGAAGACATGCCTTCATATTTTGACCATTTACTCAAAAACTACATAGGGCACAAATATGAAATTTTGAGGGAATATTTTTGAAGTTTAGAGGCAAAACATACTAAAAATTCAAATCAATTGAACGAAAAATTGCAAATTTACAAGATTTTTAAAAATGAACATTTTCTTCTATAGGACCAAATATGACATGGTTCCACATTTTGACCATTAACTCAAAAACTACTTGAGGCAAAAATATGAGATTTTGAGGGAATATTTTTGAAGGTTAGAGGTGAAACATACTAAAATTTCAAATCAATTGAACAAAAAATGGAAAAGTTACAAGATTTTCAAAAGCAAACATTTTATGGAATGCCTCCACATTTTGACCATTTACTCAAAAACTGCTTGAGGCACAAATATGACATTTTGAGAAAATATTTTTGAAACTTAGAGACAAAATATACCTACTAAAATTTCATTTCAATTGAACCAAAAATTGCGAAGTTACAAGATTTTTAGAAATGAACATTTTCTCCTATAGGACCAAACGAGGGGTAGGTCACTCCCGAATTAGGTGTACAAATGTTGAAATGTAATTGGAAAAATACATTTAATTACCTCAATTACCTTGCAATTACTTTCAATTACATTTAATTACACTTAATTACAAATAATTACACTCAATTACAAATAATTACACTCAATTACATTCAATTACAATTCAATTACCTTCAATTACGTTCAAATACCGCTCACATACATTTTATCAATTACTTTCAATTACATTCAATTATATTCAATTACATTCAATTATATTCAATTACGTTTAATTACGTTCAATTACATTCAATTACATTTAATTACATTCAAATACTTTCGATTACAATCAATTACTGTCAATTAGATGTAAATACATGCCCTCTCCATCATCCATCTTTATGAAAAGTCGGTTTTCGGCTTATTTGGACTTTATTTAATGAAATATCTAAATCAACAGTAATTTCATTAAATAAAGTCCAAATAAGCCGAAAACCGACTTTTCATTAACATATTCCTGGACGAAAACCACACTGTGTAATCCATCTTTATTTCCAAAAAAAGTTAAATACATTTAATTATATTCAATTACATTCAATTAAACTCAATTACACCTAATTACATCAATTACATTCAATTACGTTCAAATACATTTAATTTTATATACCTTCAATTACATTCTCAATTACATTCAATTACAAACAAATACATTCAATTACATACAAATACATTCAATTACAAAAAAATACATGTAATTGAATGTATTTGTAATTAGGTGTACAAATTCTATTGAGTGACCTACCCCTCAGGACCAAATATGACATACCTCCAGATTTTGACCATTAACTCAAAAACTACTTGCGGCACACATATGAGATTTTGAGGGAATATTTTTGAAGCTTAGAGTTAAAACATAATGAAAATTCAAATCAATTGAACAAAAAATTGCAAAGTTACAAGATTTTTAAAAATGAACATTTTCTTCTATAGGACATGCTCGAAGACATGCCTCCATATTTTGACCATTTACTCAAAAACTACATAGGGCACAAATATGGAATTTTGAGGGAATATTTTTGAAGTTTAGAGGCAAAACATACTAAAAATTCAAACCAATTGAAAGAAAAATTGCAAAGTTACAAGATTTTCAAAAATGAACATTTTCTTCTATAGAACTAAATATGGCATGTCTCCATATTTTGACCATGTACTCAAAAACTACTAGAGGCACGAATATAAAATTTTGAGGGAATATTTTTGAAGTTTAGAGGCAAAACATACTAAAAATTCAAACCAATTGAACGAAAAATTGCAGTTACAAGATTTTCAGAAATGAACATTTTCTTCTATAGAACCGAGTATAGAACTAAATATGATATGCCTCCACATTTTGGCCATTAACTCAAAAACTACTTGAGGCACAAATATGAGATTTTGAGGGAATATTTTTGAAGGTTAGAGGTAAAACATACTAAAAATTCAAATCAATTGAACGAAAAATTACAAAGTTACAAGATTTTCAAAAATGAACATTTTCTTCTATAAGACATGCTCGAAGACATGCCTCCATATTTTGACCATTTACTCAAAAACTACATAGGCCACAAATATGAAATTTTGAGGGAATATTTTTGAAGTTTAGAGGCAAAACATACTAAAAATTCAAATCAATTGAAAGAAAAATTGCAAAGTTACAAGATTTTCAAAAATGAACATTTTCTTCTATAGAACTAAATATGGCATGTCTCCATATTTTGACCATGTACTCAAAAACTACTAGAGGCACGAATATAAAATTTTGAGGGAATATTTTTGAAGCTTAGAGGCAAAACATACTGAAAATTCAAATCAATTGAACAAAAAATTGCAAAATTACAAGATATCTAAAAATGAACATTTTCTTCTATAGGACCAAATTATTCACTCAAATCAGATTCATAACTATAACTTGAGAAATAGCAATGACATCCACCTGGCTAATGTAAGAACAAATATTGCACTTCGAAATCCCATTAGTGAGGCATCAAGAACTTTCAATTCCCTTCCTACAAGGTTAAAAGACGAAAAGTCAAAAAATAGGTTCGTAAAGAATGTAAAAAATTACTTTAAGTGAACAATACACTATATTTTGCTTTGTTAATTATTATGTAAGTAGGTGATGGATTACTATTTAAGATTTAAGATTACGAACACCTTGTTAAAGTACTTAATATTCCGATACCAGTGCTTTTTGCACTGTTTAGGAGATTACCTTTAACTCAAATATGCCTCTACATTTTGACCATTTACTCAAAAACTACTTGAGGCACAAATATAAGATTTTGAGTGAATATTTCTGAATTTTTGATGTGAAACATACTAGAAATTCAAATCAATTAAACCAAAAATAACAAAGTTACACAATTTTGAATATGAAAATTGCTAAAGATTTCAATAATAAAATGCATTTTTTCAAAACATTCATACGTACCGTTAAAGAGTTATGCCTTGCAAACCTTTTCCCACAAAGATCGCAAGTAAACTTTTTAGACTTTTCCGGGGTATGTCTTTGATAATGAGCCTTAAGACTGCCCAAAGTGTAAAATCGCTGTTTACAAGGACAAGCAAATAACTTGTAATCCCTATGAGTGCTTTTCGTATGCATTACAAAAGCATTAACATCTTAAAATAATTGCATTATAATACAAGCAATAATTTGAGATAATTATTCTCAAACCTTCAAATTGCTGAAGACACACTTCACATTCCATAAGGGTTCCATGCTTTAAAAGATGTTTTTTGTAGATGAATTCAAATCTAAAGGTTTTAGAGCACAAATCGCAATTAAAAGTTTGCTTATCGGCCCATTTTATAACATTTGTCTCTGTAACAGTTGATTCAGTGATTTCTTCATTGGGCTCCTCAATCATCCAAACATTATCAACTTGTTGGGTGATAATTTCACTAATGTTTTGCTCAGCATTGTCTAGTACAGTAAATGTTTTATAAATCACTGTTAAATTTTCCGTGTTTTCAATGGATTTCAAGTAGGCCTCAGAAGTGTGGATTTGTTTTACAAAATTTAAAGCAGCATTTAAGTTGTTTAGGCACGAATGGCATATATTTGTTGGCAATGTGGGTATCAAAGCAAGCTAGAAGGTTATTGTATTAATAATTATTGGCTTAAGTATATAATTACTTACTTGAATATTTGCAATTTGATTTAACGAAATCAAATAGTTGTCGTGGGACAATGGGACAAGTTCCTCGGATGTTTTAAGCTGCAAACAAGTCCTGCAAGTCTTGCAGGGATCCAGTAGAGTATCTACAGTCTCTGACATTGTAGAATTAATTGTGTTACATTAGAAATTGTATATATGTAGTTAGTTTAATTTTTATTTGTTAATTTGTTTTCATCATAACAAAGTAAATAAGAAATTCTAACCTCAAAAACATTTTGGGATGTTTTGACAAGTATTGTCTACCAACTGTTTGAAATTAAGCAAGAGGTCAATGAAAATTATATCAAAATTGATTTTTAATCAGTAATAAGGCAATCGAAGGACCTAATTTAAGTAATTTATGATTTTTTAAATTTATTATCAACCTTATTGTGTAATAATCAATCTTCAAAAAGAAATATCTTATCTAGTTTAGTTTTCTTGAGTTGGCAACAGTGGAAATTGGAGCTTCAGCTTGACATTTTTGTCACGTGACACGTCAGTTCTTTTCCAACGAGCAAAGATGGCGAACGTGCGTGACAGCGATACATCCCTCTGGCTCCATAATAAACTCGGAATTTCCAACGATTCCTGGACCGGGGGCTCGATTTGTTCCCAATTGAACCTCGAAGTGTTGAGGAACATTAAAGAATGCTTTCCAGACTTACAAACCCAAGTGAAACTCAAATTATTGCTCAGTTTCTTCCACATTCCTGGCAGAAACTTGGAAGAGGTATTTTTAATGTTTATATGTAATAATATGTATTTTCAAACAACTTTTTCGCAGGTTTTTAATAATACAATTTGTGTCTTATTTTAACATAGGTACAATAAAAGCATTATTTAAAAATTAGTTGTATTTTTCTAGTGGAAATCAGAACTAGAACAAATTATAGATGTAGCCCTGCAAGATTCAGAATTATGGGTGGCAATGATTGCAGACGCCTTAAAAACTTATCCAGCCAGTGGCTCTTTGAATACAGAAATCACAGATGTAGAAGAAGTACGTCAAATATTTGGGGATCTTATTTCAGACCTGAGGAAGCATGTGAAGAAACAAAACGAGCATACCATTTTGCCTATGGAGTGCCATTATTTGAATAAAAGTGCTTTGATATCAGTGGTAAGTATACACTGTGATTCATCGTGCATTAGAAGTTATACAGTTTGCAAGTGGATTAGTAGAAATAGCATGCTGCAAGCTAATGCACAGGTTATGTAAATCACCCTGTATAAATAAACTATACTTACTTATTGATTTTTTCAAGGATTTTTTATAGAAAATTCTCAATCTTTGTATTAAGGTGCGTTTACACATGCATGGATTTAGTGGCACCAATAAAAACTGGCGCGCCTGTAAATTTTATTAGCAAGTGTAAACATGGACTTGCATACACATTTTATATTTGCATGCATAGTCCAAAAAAGTCTGCATCCTTCTGAAATCACTGGCGCCAGTGGTGACAAATTCGTACAGAAAATCAAAACTTGCAAGTGTAAACAAGTGCTTACACGTCGGCGTCCGCTCGCCAGTTTTTCGTTTAATTTTCATTTCGCCGCGGTTGCTGCGAGTTCTCCTAGAAGTTTTGCAGGAGCAGCCAAAGTGGGTCGACGACCAATCTATGGTTCAATCCAGAAACGGCCATTTCGTTGGTTGCGTTTCTTTTTCTGTATTTATTTTATCTTTTTTTCTTTTACTAAAAGTTTTGCGACTATTTTACAGGCTTCGGAAAGTTGACTCGACATAGTCCACACTGAGAAAAGCACTTTAAAAGTGAAACAGGCGTGCCACTTATTTCTGTTTTTCACACAAAGTGTAAACCTTTACTGGCGTGCAAATAGAACTGGCGCGACCACTGGCGCCACTAAATCCATGCATGTGTAAACTCACCTTTATACTTATTATCATTGGGATAAAGTGAGATAGTCTTTTTTTATTTATTTATTTATTTGTTTATTGTCTAACAGGATAAACCCAATAACAAGACAATTATAATAATCTCAAATTAAAGACTAGACAAATGTTATTGTAAACTTAAAACTAGGTTTTGACATATGCTTCATATACAAATACATGAAGTAACTAACTATAGTTTGTAATTAACAATCAAGAGAAAACAGATGTAAATTAAGTATATTAAGCAGCATCAACAGCTTCCCCCAGCAAAACCCCAGGACAAAAAGTTAACCCCAAGCTAATCAGCAATATTCCACAAAAATGCAAGATTCAATAATCAATCAAAACAATCACTAGAGCAATTTAATTCAGGAGAGCATTTTTTATCTGTGATATAATTTTAGTTTTAAATGACTTTACAGTACCATTGAAAAGATCCAACTCAAGTACAATGGGTATTAATTGATTATGCCATGAGCAGGCTCTATATATAGGCGCATTTCTGGCGAGATTAGTATGACAGTTTTCCAGATAAAATTTATGGTGAGTTCGGGTGTTTGCTGCAGGAGCCAAAAAATTGAGGCAACTCAATATTTCAGCCGAATCAATTAAATTATTGCATATTTTGAAAATGAACAATTGACTGGCAAGAATTGTACTTTGCTTAAGTGATAAAAAGTTAAATCTTTCTAGTAATAATTTGTGGTCATATCCCCGTGGAGGGTAAATGCCATCCTGCTTAAAGCTTAGGTACTTGAGAAATCTGCGCTGGACATATTCGAGCCTGTCAACATGTACATCATAACTAGGAATAAAACATTTTTTTGTAAAGTTAAATTCAAGTCTATTTCAATCGAGGGGGAAACCACCTTAGAATTTTGGTGTACAAACTGATAGAATTTTTTAGAATTTTTTAGAATTATCAGTATTTTTTAGTATTTTTTAGTATTTTCTAGCATTTTCTAGCATTTTCTAGAATTATTTAGAATTTTTTAGTATTGTTTAGAATTGAATTAGAAATAATTTAGAATTTCCACCTATTGCTCATGCCGAGGGGTTGACCACTCGCCGCAATACATGTACGTTCAATCCGCATTGCGATCACATTTTTTGCATTATATTGAATTTTAATCAAATTCACAGCATTTTCCTACATTTTCCACATTGTTATGCATTTTGCCACATTTTCAGGCATTTGGCCACATTTTGACGCATTTTGTTGCATTAATGCAGCATTTTCAATAATTTTGTGAAGATATTTTTTTAATTAATGCGAAAATGCGAAGTAGAGGGGAAAGGACTTGATACTCTTCTGATTCTGATACGGCGGACATCGAGCCGACATATTCATATTACATGCAGTTTGACGTCGTTTGTAGATGTAGATGATTTTGTGTGCCGAGTTTTGCTTCATCAGGTTTGCCTGATTGAGGTAAGTACTATATAATACTTTTTATATGCACAAACTGTAAATAAGTGATACCTATTTACATTCAAATTTGTGTAGAAAAATTCTTCATATAGGCCTGCTTTAGCCAGCTCTTAGGAATTATTCTAGATGATGCAGCAAAGTCGTTTGAAGTCATATCAATACCTTTAGCAACAGGACAATTTGGGGATGATGAATCCGAAAATTTAAATTCCTTTGAGACATCTAAGGAGACAACACCTAATGAAATGAATCTGGAAATGACAGAAGAAGATGAATCAGAATAATTGAAGATCTAGAAAGTTATGGGAAATTATTTGATAATATTAAATCCACCGGCATAAAGAATGCCACTGACACTCAAAGCATTAATCAGCACCATGGAGTTTTGGAATTAAAAATGAAGAGTAAACTAAAACTAGTAAAAAAATCCACATTATGTTGGGTTTTTGGTCAAAAAAATGGAAAAGTATCCACAGACAGAATTGTTAGATTTAGAGGTAAACCTGGCAACAAGGTAGGTACCTAAGCGAAAAAGTATTGAGAATAAAAATACAAAAAGCAAAAAAAAAACCTAAAACCAAGTATAATGAAAGCGAGTCTAATAGTGAAACTTCTGAGAGTGAAACTGTGGTTCCTTAAATTAGCACAACAAAAATAGCACACATCAGAAAAACTAGAGTACTAAATTCGAACCTATTTAGTGCTAATTTAGTACGAAAAAAAAAAGTTTATAACTCTATTTTTTAAAAAATTACGTGCATGTGTGCCAGCTTAAGATTAAGCTGGCACACTCTAGTTGGATAAGGTCGAATCTTTGAAAATCTAGAACCTCATATTTAGTGCTAATTTGGTACATTCATGGCACGCCTAAAAAACTAACAATGATGTATTTATTACGAAATAACCATGGAAAAGTGCTAACTCAAGACTTGAATTAGCACACATACATCGAATCGACCGCGCGAGAACGGAAATCGCATGCGCATATTTAGTGCCAATTCAGTACTTCAGAAACGACGACCCGAAACGAATTAGTATCACATTAGCACAGAGTTAGCACTTGTGTGCTGGCTTAGTGTTTAAGTTAACAAACATTATCACCGATGATGCGATGAAACTAGAGTACTAAATTAAATTAGCAGACATTTAGTGCTAATTTTAGACGTTAGTTTGGATTAGTTCGGGTTAGTTTGGGTTATTTTGGGTTAGTTTGGGTTAGCTCTGTGCTGATGTGATACTTCAGGTCGTCGTTTTTGAAGTACTAAATTAGCACTTAATATGTGCATGCAAATTCCGTTCTCGCACAGTCGATTCGATGTATGTGTGCTAATTCAAGTCTCAAGTTAGCACTTTCCCGTGGTTATTTCATAATAAATACATCATTGTTAGTTTTTTAGGCGTGCCATGAATGTACCAAATTAGCACTAAATATGAGGTTCTAGATTTTCAAAGATTCGACCTTATTCAACTAGAATGTGCCAGCTTAATCTTAAGCTGGCACACATGCACGTAATTTTTTTAAAAATTGAGTTATAAATTATTTGTTTTCGTACTAAATTAGCACTAAATAGGCCCGAATTTAGTACTCTAGTTTTTCTGATGTGTGCCATTTTCGTTGTGCTAATTTTTTAGACCTGTGAAACTGTGATTTACGAAGAGAGCAAATGGAAGTGAGTGATAGTGAGAATGAAATGGAAGAACCTCGGGAAGAACTCTGTATAGAAATGGAAAAGTATTATGCTGTGTACTATGATACATCATGGTATATTGCCCGGTATATTGGCAGAGTATTAGGTGTAGATGAATATATGAAAATATTCACCATTACATTTTTGAAATATGATTTAAATGGCATGGCGTCGTAAAGAGGACATTCAAAGAGTTCAACGTGATTTTATTTTCCATGGGCCTATTAGGTAATATGACTGGAAACAGGCAATTTCATATTAAATACATAGAAAAAATTAAGATAGAGCGCTCATATAAAAATATTAAAAGGATGTAATCCTGGGAAGTAACAACAAATAAAGTGCAGTAAAATACCTTGTAAGCAGTTTTTTTTTTTCAAATGGTCACACAAAAGTCAATAATTAGGTTTTTTATTAGTAATATTATTATTTTATATTAAATTCCGAAGTGATCAATGTGAACATTTCTCCGCATTATGCCAGATAAAATGGCATTACCTTCACATTACGTCTAATTGCATCACATGTTTTAACATTTTTAGCATTTTTCCGCATTGTCCATTAATGCGCCGAATTATCCACATTATCCCGCATTACCTTAAAATGCGAGATAATGCGGCAATAAATGTACATATTTTCCAGAGTGGTCAACCCCTCGGCTCATGCTTAAGAGCCTGCGCACTGCGCATTCTGTTGGGATTTTTGAATTTTTTTTTGAATTTTTAGAATTTTTCGAGAATTAGCATTTTTCAGAATTTTGGAATTATTTTTGGTGTAAAAAATTAGGTAGTAGGTGGGTTCCCTCGAGCGGGAAACCTTTTTAGAATTTTGGTGTACAGGGTGATCTATTATAAATGTCACCCCCTCCTAACTTTTTCATTTGACATTTTTGACAAAAGTGTCAAATACAAAAGTTTCAATAAATTGTCGAAAGTTTTTAACTAAGTCAGTTTTAGACATACAGGGTGTGTCAAAAAAGTGTAGCAGTGTGAAGTTATATTTTTTTAAATGGAACACCCTGCATGATTTCAACGATATACGATTTGATCTTCGATATTTATAAGGAAAAACATGAAAACTCCTTTCAAGGTTTCATATTGAAAAAAGAAAAATTAGGTATACCATTTAAGCTTTAGAGAATTTTTTTTATGAACAGTTTATTGTTCAAATTTTATTCATTAATATACAAGGTGAAATATTATATTATAATAAATCCAGTTATTATTATTTTTTTTGAAAAAATAACATGAGAGAACTAGCAAGGGATTTTCGCGTTTTTCCCTATAACTATTGAAGATAAACAGAGAGATAAACATATCACACCGTATATCGTTGAAATCATATTATCTGGTATGGTGCTGAAACTGGTAAGGGGACTAACAAATAAGCGCACAATATACAGGGTGTTCCATTTAAAAAAATATAACTTCTTACTGCTGCACTTTTTTGACGCACCCTGTATGCCTAAAACTAACTTAGTTAAAAAAAATGATAATTTCTTAAAACTTTTGTATTTGACAGTTGACACTTCTGTCAAAAACGTCAAATGATAAAGTTAGCAGAGTCGACATTTATAATAGATCACCCTGTACAAACTGATAGAATTTTTTAAATTTTTCAGAATTATCAGTATTTTTTTTGCATTTTTTAGTATTTTTTAGCAATTTCTAGAATTATTCAGTATTTTTCAGAATTGAACTAGAGTTTTTTAGAAATAATTTAGAATTTTTATCTATTGCGCATGTTCAAGAGCCTGCCCAATTTGTTGGGATTTTTTAGAATTTTTTAGATTTTTTTAGAATTTTTAGAATTTTTTGGGACAATAATAACATGAAAATTAGCATTTTTCAGAATTTTAGAATTTTTGGTGTACAAAATTAGATAGGTGGTTTCCCCGGTCGATTTCAATAAATCAAAGTACAATGCACCTATGCCAAAAGTGCTGATAATTACAATATATGCTTATGACTAATTTCTTATGAAATAACACCATTAATTTGCTTACATTTAATATTGGATATCATAAACTAACTATACAGTGTGATTTTTTAAGTGTGCAACATATGGGAATTTTTTTTAGTAAAAGCACAACCCAAATACAAACAAGGCCAAAAGTTGGTGCATGTCTGATAATCATATTAGGTGCACTTAGAATGGTTGCAAGTCAAACAGCATACAGGGTAGCTCAAACAATATCAAAGCTGGTACAGTAAAGTACCCTTATTTTAGAAAATTCAGCAAAATGTTATAGAGAAAAGTTGTTTGGAATTAAAAGTTATGCATAAATACCAAAACATAGCCTCCTAAGATTTTTTTTATTTTCTTTCGAAAAAAATCTATAATTTCTATATATTTTTTATTTTTTATTTCCGCCTTTAAGACTTTCAAAAATTAATTAAAATCAAATCAATTTTACTTAACTTTGTTCAAATTCAAGCATATTAAATGTAAAATTAACTTAGATTTTTAATTTTTTATGGAATCACAAAATTCATGTTTGTTGCAATGATATTCAACACAACTTTAAAATGTCGCAACAAGTTAATACATTACTAATGATAATAGCCATATTAAAAAAACTCTCTTTAAAGTGCAAAAGTTTTATTTCATTTAAGTAAATTTTCATTTAAGTAGAATTTTGATATTTTTTGAGCCACCCTGTATGACGTTTGACTTGCAACCATTCAAGTGCCAGTACTTTTGCTCTCATTTGACAGCCGTTAAAAATAATCAGGGCTTAGAATGTGCTCTAACCACATCATACTTATAGACCTTGACCTATGCAAAACTTTGACAACGTATCAAATTCGTTAATCGAGAGCAAAAGTATCGGCCCTAAGTGCACCTAATATGATTATCAGACATGCACCAACACCAACTTTTGGCCTTGTTTGTATTTTGATTGTGCTATTACCAAAAAAAAGTCCCATATGTTGCACACTTAAGTAATGACACTGTATACAGAGTGATTTATTAATAACGTATTTTTATTCTTACACTCCAATTATAGGTTGGACATAAGCCAGAACCAATTAAACATTTCACAATCAAGAAAAAACCCAAATCAGCTTTGTTGAGGGCAGATCTATTGCAAAAATCCTCAGATGCTGCTTCCAATTTGAAAAAATCCAGTGCCCCAGTGATACCTGTAAGGTCCAGAGGCATGCCAAGAAAAATGACAGACACAAGTAAATAATCTTGTTTTGGTTTAATAGGTACTTGTTACACAAAAACACCTTTTTTAGCTCCACTGAAAGGTATTCCAAGCAGAGTGCCAACATCAGGATTCCGTTCAAACACCCTAATTGCAAACATAAGTAACAGGCCACCTTTGACCAGACCCCCAGCAGGCAGAAAAGAAGGCGGCGTCAAACTTCTAGACATAGCAGATCAACCCTTGGGCTATGCTGCGGCCAAAAAACGCAAAAAGCAACAAGAAATCGAAGAAAATCAAGCCAAAAAGGCCCTGCAAGAAAACCAGGCCCTACAAAGTCCACCAGTCGCAATCAAAAAGGAACCTGTGGCCACCCCAGATTATGCTGCTGGCCTTGGAAACGCCACCCCTGCTTATGCCCCTGCCACTCCACAGCCGGCTGTTGCTTCTACAGCTACAACTCCAGCTAATATTACAGCACCACCTACTCCGGCTGCAATGGCCGCTCCAAACACACCTAAACCAATCCTTGTTGTGCCCAAAATTGTTACATCTACTCCAACCATACAACCACCCGTACAAGTTCAACAAGCAGTTGCCCCACAAATGGTCACACCTCAATACATAGCTGCACAGAATTTAAGACCTGTACCGCCTCTTTTAGCAACAACACCAGCAGGACAAAGATCCATTATAACTACCACTGGTAAAATTTTGTTTGTCTTTTAATTGAACAGGATTAATATTTATGATTTGTAGATCAAGTCAATGGACTTCAGACGCAGCTTATTACGCCTGTAGTGGTGGCTCAGAGGCCTCAGCAGCAACCTGCTCAACAGCAACAGACTGTTACTCATATTAGGATACAGCCTCAGCCTGCTAATAATTTGCAAAAGCGTGGGCTGGCGTTAACGGTAAGGAAAATTAGTTGTTGCTATCAATTGCATAGGAGAGTTGGCAACATTGAAACTAGATCAATGTAAACCACACTTGATTTTGAATAAATATTACCTTTGAAGGATACATATATTGCAACAAATGATTTTTACATTTTCTTATTTATAGCGCGAACAAATGCTAGAAGCCCAAGACATGTTCAGAACAGCCAACAAAGTGACGCGACCAGAAAAAGCACTAATTTTAGGTTTCATGGCAGGTTCCAGAGATAATCCTTGTCCGCACTTGGGCAACATTGTAACGATAAAACTGTCAGAAGATCAAGAAACTGTAATGCAAGCTGACGACAGTTGCGTCACTATGCTGGTAGAGACGCACTTCCAAATGAACTACAACAACGGTGAATGGAAGAGGATCAAAAAGTACCGCCAGATCAGTAGCGAAATCGATCATTTGCATCAGAATCAAGCTGCAGCTGCGCTTGTATGATTAAAGTTAAATACTAATAATTTGTAATCTTTTGTATATTATTATTGTAGCAACATTGTTGCTATGTATGGGTCTCATTTGTATATTATTTTATGTATAGGTATATGTAATTGAAAAAAAAAAAACACTTTTGCTTTTTTAGCAAAAACAAAGACTGATTTTAGCTGACAACCATATTTTGATTTTCAAATTTAAAGGCTTTTTATTGGTGGAATTTATAAATTACTAAAAGTAATCAATATTCTGTAATGTAAATAATTAAGTCACAGTTTTTATTTTGTACATTATAATATTATGGCTATGAGAAAATAACTTTTTTATGTAAATAATTTTTATTATGTTTTTAGCACAATTGTTATATACATAAATCTAATTTTCATATTGTTAAATATTGCTAAATAAAAACAAATTTAATATTTTTAAATTATTATCCGGTTTATTCATTTAGCTAAAATCAATTTTCTTTACATCACTCTTTACAAACAATTTATCACACTGAACACAAATACAATTTTTACAAATCTCCAATAAACAATTCCTACAAAAAACATCCTTGCAAGGAATCTCATATAAATAATCACAAGTAATTTTACATAAATTACACAAATTACTTTCTCGACTGACATTAAAACTAACAAAACTGGGATCAGATTTTGCGTTTTGTATTAAAGAATCCAAATCGTCTTTTGGATTTTTGTCCAACTTTTGGCATTTATTATTATTAGCAACAATTACTGTACGTAAAGTCCTTTTTAAACCAAATGTCTCCGCCCTGTGACTGTTTTGCAACAAAAACATATCAATGCGACTTTTTAAGGCAACATTTAAAATTGGCTTTAAAGTGTCTGTGAACTTTTTGCCTGTAAATGGATCACAGGGCTTGCGGCTGAAGGAATTTTCAATTTCCACGTGTTTGTCTAAAGTAGTTTGGTCAATGGTTTTGCCGCAAGGCAAAGTATAAGGAATTGTCATTAACTCGTAGGTTAAATCATCTTTGAAGTCATTAGGGATTTCAAAAGTGTCTTTTTCAACTTCACTATTGGTTAGTTTAGGGATATTTGGTCTATTGTTGAGCTTATAAACAGTTTCAATAGTTTTTTTAGAGCAAGTTTTTGAAGGTGTGCCCCAAATTTCTACTCGAGACAAGCAAGGAACTGATTTTTTAGTTTTAAAAATTACTATTTTTATACATTTAGCATTCATAAATGTTTTGTGTGCAATGCCTTTGAAAAAACGTAACTCAATATTTTCATTATAGCCCAAAGGAGGTTGGGATTTGGAATATTTGCGGGCATTGCACAAAATCAAGCCTTGATTATCGTAAAATGCTTTAGCCAAAGAAATATACTCATCACTTGAGGCTTTTGCAAATATTTCTATGCCAGTGCATTGCTGATTACCTACAGTGGTGTTTAAAAGTATATGCGAAATATTTACATTGCACAGCAGGTCAAATTCTATTTCCACAGGAGGTTTTATGGAAGGAAAAGCTATAAAGCCTCGTATTTTGTCCGCATAAGATTCGCTTATTAAATTGTCCGCTTCGTAGGTTTCTGTGCATAGAGGTTTTCGGGTTATTTTTGGTAGTAACTTTGGATCTAAAAAGTTTATCATTTGGAAATTGGACCAGAACTGGTGCAGTTCTCTGAAAAAATAGAAATGGTTGCTTTTAGTATAGTGTAATATAGGTCAAGGGACTAAATTTTAGTACTGGGATATAGGTATTAATTTTTCAAATTTGAATACCTACTTTGTTTCTAGCAAGGGGCAAACCACCTAGGAATTCTTTGCCAAAAATGTGGGGAATTTAGAGGAATTTGTAGGAATTCATCCAAATTTATGAAAATTTGGGGAATTTATAGGAAATTTGGAGGAATTTATGGGAAATTTGGCAGAATTTGTGAGGAATTTAAAGGAAATTGTCAAATTTTAAAAATTCAAAAGAATAATGAATACAGTTTTTGTAGGTTGATTTTCAAGATTTTTCATCTTAATGTTTTTCACTGGAAAAATTTGAAATTTTGAAAAAATGATCTTCTCACCTTCCTCTTTACATGCAAAAAGTTTCAAAATTTTCCCTTCACTAGTTTTCTGGGAAAACTTTGGAATGTGTGAGATTGTATTTTCAATTAATTCAGTTATTTCAGGTTGATTTCCAAGATTCCTCATGTTGTAATTTCCCACTGGAAAAATTTGAAATTTTGGGATAATGAGCTTCTCAGCTTCCTCTTCACATGCAGAAAGTTTCAAAATTTTCCCTTCTCTAGTTTTCCAGGAAAACTTTAAAATATGTGAGACTGTATTTTCAACTAATTGAGTTTTTGAAGGTTGACTTCCAAGATTTTTCATGTTGCTATTTTATACTGAAAAAATTTGAAATTTTGGGAAAATGAGCGTCTTACCTTCCTTTTTACATGCAAAAAGTTTCAAAACGTTCCCTTCACTAGTTTTCCAGGAAAACTTTGAAAGGTGTGAGACTGTATTTTCAAATAATTCAGTTATTGTAGGTTGATTACCAATATTCCTCATGTTGTTATTTTCCACTAGAAAAATTTGAAATTTTGGAAAAATGAGCTTCTCACCTTCCTCCTAACATGTAAAAAGTTTCAAAATGTTCCCTTCGCTAGTTTTCCAGGAAAACTTTGAAATGTGTGAGACTGTATTTTCAACTAATTCAGTTTTTGTAGGTTGATTTCCAAGATTTTTCATGTTGCTGTTTTTCACTGGAAAAATTTGAAACTTTGAGAAAATGAGCTTCTCACCTTCCTCTCTATACGCAAAAAATTTCAAAATTTTCCCTTCACTAGTTTTCCAGGAAAACTTTGAAATGTGTGTGACTGTATTTTCAACTAATTGAGTTTTTGTCGAGGTTTTTGTAGGTTGACTTCTAAGATTTTTCGTGTTGCTGTTTTCTACTGGAAAAATTTAAAATTTTGGGAAAATGAGCGTCTCACCTTCCTCTCTACATGCAAAAAGTTTCAAAATTGTCCGTTCACTAGTTTTCCAGGAAAACTCTAAAATGGATGAGACTGTATTTTCAATTATTTTAGTTATTGTAGGTTGATTTCCAATATTCCTCATGATGTTATTTTCCACTGGAAAAATCTAAAACTTTAGGAAAATGAGTTTCTCGCCTTCTTCATTACATGCAAAAAGTTTCAAAATTTTCCCTTTACTAGTTTTCTAGGAAAACTTTGAAATGTGTGAGACTGTATTTTCAACTAGTTCAGTTTTTGTAGATTGATTTCCAAGATTTTGTATGTTGCTGTTTTTCACTGGAAAAATTTGAAACTCTGTTTCTGTAAGTTTATTTCCAAGTTATTGTAAGTTTCTTTCCAAGATTCCTCATGTTATTTTCTACCGGAAAATTTTGAAATTCTAGGAAAATGAACTTCTAACTTTCCTCTTTACATGCAAAAAGTTTTAAAATTTTCCCTTTTCTAGTTTTCCAGGAAAACTTTAAAATATGTGAGACTGTATTTTCAACTAATTCAGTTTTTGTAGGTTGACTTCCAATATTTTTCATGTTGATGTTTTCTACTGGAAAAATTTGAAATTTTGGGAAAATGAGCGTGTCACCTTCCTCTTTACATGCAAAAAGTTTCAAAATGTTTCCTTCACTAGTTTTCCAGGAAAACTCTGGAATATGTGAAACTGTATTTTCAATTAATTCAGTTAATGTAGGTTGATATCCAATATTCCTCATGTTGTTATTTTCCACTAGAAAAATTTGAAATTTTGGAAAAATGAGCTTCTCACCTTCTTCTTTACATGCAAAAAGTTTCAAAATGTTCCCTTCACTAGTTTTCCAGGAAAACTTTGAAATGTGTGAGACTGTATTTCCAATTAATTCAGTTATGTAGGTTGATTCCAAGATTTTTCATGTTGCTATTTTCCACTGGAAAATTTTGAATTTATGGGAAAATGAGCTTCTCACCTTCCTCTTAACATGCAAAAAGTTTCAAAATTTTCCCTTCACTAGTTTTCCAGGAAAACTGTGAAATGTGTGACACTGTATTTTCAATTAATTCAGTTATTGTAGGTTGATTTCCTATATTCCTCATGATTGTTATTTTCCACTGGAAAAATCTAAAACTTTGGGAAAATGAGTTTCTCACCTTCTTCATTACATGCAAAAAGTTTCAAAATTTTCCCTTCACTAGTTTTCCAGGAAAACTTTGAAATGTGTGAGACTGTATTTTCAATTAATTCAGTTACTGTAGGTTGATTTCCAAGATTCCTCCTGTTGTAAATTCCCACTGAAAAAATTTGAAATTTGGGGATAATGAGCTTCTCAGCTTCCTCTTTACATGCAAAAAGTTTACAAAATTTTCCCTTCACTAGTTTTCCAGGAAAACTCTGAAATATGTGAGACTGTATTTTCAATTAATTCAGTTATTGTAGGTTGATTTCCAATATTCCTCATGTTGTTATTTTCTACTGGAAAAATTTGAAATTTTGGAAAAATGAGCGTCTCAGCTTCCTCTTTACACGCAAAAAGTTTCAAAATTTTCCCTTCACTAGTTTTCCAGGAAAACTTTGAAATTTGTGAGACTGTATTTTTAATTAATTCAGTTATTGTAGGTTGTTTCCAAGATTTTTCATGTTGCTATTTTCCACTGGAAAATTTTGAAATTTCGGGAAAATGAGCTTCTCACCTTCCTCTTCACATGCAAAAAGTTTCAAAATTTTCCCTTCTCTAGTTTTCCAGGAAAACTTTAAAATATGTGAGACTGTATTTTCAACTAATTCAGTTTGTGTAGGTTGATTTTCAAGATTTTTCATGTTACTGTTTTCCACTGGAAAACTTTTAAATTTTGGGAAAATGATTTTCTCACCTTGCTCTTTACATGCAGAAAGTTTCAAAATTTTCCCTTTTTTTAGAGGAATTTATGGGGTATTTGGAGAAGTTCGTAGTGGGGTATTTGAAGGAATTTGTGATAGGGTTTCTGGAGGAATTTTGAGGAATTATGCGAAAAAAATTCCCCTTTGAGGAATTGTTTGCACCAATTCTGTGATGGTGGTTTACCCCTTGGTTTCTAGTTTAAATGAGAGATAATGAGTCTGGGATAGATAAAAATTGAAGCAATACAAATGAGAGAAATTCTTTCTTTCTCTATCCCTGGGTAATGGTCTTGAATTTTCTTTCTTTGGAGAAATTTAGAAGAAAACATAAAATGAAGAACTAGAACCTGGAATAGACGAAAATTGTGAACAAAATTCTCTCTTGTTCCATTGCAAACTCTTGAATTTTCCTTCTTTGGAAAAAAACATAAAAGCTAAAACTTGGAATAGACAGAAATTGAATCAGAAAATTTGAGAAATGGAGATATTGGAGAGATGAAAAGGAGAATAAAGAGAGAAATTAGAATAGAAATTGAGAATAAAATTCTTTCTTCATCTAACTCAGGGTCTTGGTCTTGAATTTTCTAACTTACTTTGTAAAAATGTTAGAAAGAAACCTCGAAGGAAACATAAAATCAAGAGATTAGGAACCTAGAATAGACAAAAACTGAGAACAAAATTCTCTCATTTTACATCTCAAGTTCTTGAAATTACCTCTCCTTTGGAAGATAACATAAAACCAAGAGCCAGAGAGACACTGATTTAGAGAATTTAAGAAATGGAGATATTGGAGTGACAAATAGGAGAAATCTCGGGAGAAATAAAGAGAAAATGGAATAGAAATTGAGAACAAAATTCTTTCTCTAACCCAAGGATCTTGGTTTTGAATTTCCTTTTGTTGAGAAATAGAAAGAAATCAAGAACAAGAACCTGGAAAAGACAAAAATTGAGGACAAAATTCACTCTTTCTTCATTCCAAGCTCTTGAATTTTCCTTCTTTTGAAAAAAACATAAAACCAAGAGCCGGGAATCGACAGAAATTGAGTCAGAAAATTTGAGAAATGGAGACGGGAAATTTGCGAGAAACTCATACAAAACTGACTCTGGAATAAACAGAAATTGAAACGATAAAAAGGAGAAATAAAGAGAGATTCCTAAATTAATTTATCCACTCATTAGCATTCATTTGACCCACAAAACATATTATTTTATTAGTTAATTAGTCAATGCATTATAATTACCTTTTAATCAGCTTTTTTTCAACTTAATTTGGTACAAAAACAACAGTTTCTTGGTTCCCATAATATTTTTACAAAAATAAAAATAAAACCTTTGAGATAGGGCAGGGATGAGGAAAAGTAAGCCCTTAGCGCTGTTGTCAAGTTTCCTATTTCAGTACTGGAGGATACATTTTGAAGCTGCTCTACAATTGAGGACAAATTCTACTATTATTTTGCAACTGTTTGCAAAAGTAAAAATAAAAAACAAATTTGGAAATATTAAGAGCAAAAATCCATAAATAAATGAAGAGAAAAGAAAATGGTTCTCCATTCCTGGTATGGCAACACTGTGCTGATTTGAACTTCTGTCAAAAAAAAGTGAGGTTAGAAATCTACCGCATTTTCCAAATAAACCCAATCTACAAGAAGTTTTTTAAAGTTATCAGAAAATTAAATAATGAAATAATGGCAAATTTAGATGTAAACTACTTGGAAGAGTTGAGGCAAACTTTCTACAGTGCGGATCATCGAAATCAAGTCCCAACGAAAGGTAAAAAGGAGCAAAAACACAAGAGCAAACCGAAAATCACGCTTCCTAAAGTAAGTTCAAATACCCAAAGCAATGGAATACCTACTATAAGCACAATTATTGATACACCACATTATGTAAATGGCAAAAAATCTCATGAGACAGCTAAAAAACAATCATCTGAGGCCCCATTGAAAGGTAAAAAGAACCTCAAAAGCAGTGAAAAAATTAAAAACAGACCTGATACACCTTTTAAACTAAAAAAACCTGATCATAATGAGAATCCTGCCAAGGGCACACAACTATCTGTATGTGAAGTAGAACATGAAAACAAGGTAAAAGGTAAAAAAAAGCTCAAGAGCAAACTCACATTTTCTGAGACAACAAGCAGTGAAAAGATCAAAAACAGAATTGATACACCATTTAAGCTGAAAAAAACTTTAAATAATGAAAACCCTGGCAGAGGAACTAAAAGAAGATTATCTGATGCTGAGCAAGAAGTCAAGCCTAAGAAGAAAAAAGAAAAACCTACAATTAGCAAAGGTGTACAATTGAATTTTTCAGAAGATGAAACTGTTGCTGAAGAGTTTATTGAAAAGAGAAGAGAAAAACCAAAAATCAATGGCAAAGGTGTGGTTCGTAAAAAGAAAGTGAGCTGGACATCAGAAACTGAAGCAGTTGAAGAGAAGAAACGAAAAACTGGTAAAAAAAAGAAATTTGCAAATTTAAATCCTGTAATTCCATCAGAGACAAAGCCAAAAATCAACACTAAACTGGTAGAAGTTGGTGAAGCACAACAAAATGAAAATTTGCAAATATCCATAATCAACAATACTGAAACTGCTCACGATTTTTATGATAACAATAAGCTAAATGTAAAAGGAATGAATTTGCAAAGGTTTTGCAACTTGTTCGTAGATTCATACAATGAACATTTTGATGAAATTGATGAATTCAAAGTGCCAAAAAAATTCTATAAATCTTCCAAAAATGATAACAAAATATTTAATATTGGTACTGTTGAAATTGATTCAAAATCAAGCCAAAAACAAATTGAATTAGATGAGGCAATAGCAAGTGAAGATAATACAGAATCTGTATCTGATAATGAAGAAAATCAAATTGTTCCTAATAATGAAATAATTGAAACCAATCAATCATGTCCCCCTAAAATCCTAAAATTAACAAACAACAATCAACTTATAATAATCCCTGAACCAAATCAGCTAATCCACTTTCACGGATTATTCAATCTCAAAGTACTATATGGAAAAGTGGAAATTTTAGGTGCAACTTTAACCCAAAATTCTCCTGAAAAAAAAATCTATTCACCCAGAGGCACTTCTTTACTCTACATCAAAAATACCCATACACAATATTGCAGTGATACAATAAAAATTAGTAGCCTAATAGCAACTGACTTACTAAATATAGAAGACAAGAATTTGGCCTTTGACCATCACAGTGCAATATTATTATGTCAAGAGCTCAAAGAGCCTTATATTGATTTCATTGAAACCCACATGCCTCAAATAATGTTTCCAGAAGCGACTTTGGGACCCAGAGTTGATTTCCAATTAAGTGGCAACTGGAATAAAACACTTGAATATTCCAACTTGTGGGAAAATGTATTTGATTCCAAAACTGTTATTTGCGGTGGAAAAGGGGTTGGCAAAAGCACCTATCTTAGATACTTGGTTAATTTGTTGTTGGGTAAATTTCCAGAAGTACGAGTTGTGGATTTGGATTCGGGACAGTCGGAGTTTTTTGCGCCTGGATTTATTGGTATAGTCACTGTCAAGGAGAATCTTTTGGGGCCTAATTATACACACATTCAATCTGCTGATACGTAAGTGAAATTGAAATTAACAAAAATTACCAAGGGGCAAACCACCTAGGAATGATTTACCAAAAATGTGAGGAATTTATGGGGAATTTGAAGGAATTCATCGGAATTTATGAGAATTTGGGGAATTTAGAGAAATTTTTGGGGAATTTAGAAGAATTTGTGAGGAATTTAAAGGAAATTGTAGGGTCATGACATTACTGAGGTTCACATTCTTTTTTTAAGAAAGGTACAGTTTTTGTAGGCTGATTTCCAAGATTCTTCATGTTGTTATTTTCCACCGGAAAAATTTGAAATTTTGGGAAAATGAGCTGCTCACCTTCCTCTTTACATGCAAAAAATTTCAAATTTCTCCCTTCACTAGTTTTCCTGGAAAACTTTGAAATGTGTGAGACTGTATTTTCAAATAATTCAGTTATTGTAGGTTGATTTCCAAGATTCCTCATGTTGTTATTTTCCAAGTGAGAAATTTGAAATTTTGGGAAAATGAGTCTCTAACTTTCTCTTTACATGCAAAAAGTTTCAAAATTTTCCCTTCACTAGTATCCCAGGAAAACTTTGAAATGTATGAGACTGTATTTTCAATTAGTTCAGATTTTGTAAGTGGATTTCCAAGATTCTTCAACATGCTATTTTCTACTGAAAAAAATTGAAATTTCGGGAAAATGAGCCTCTAACCTTCCTCTTTACATACAAAAAGTTCCAAATTTTCCCTTCACTAATTTTCCAGAATAACTTTGAAATGAGCGAGACTGTAAGTATATTTTCAATTAATTCAGTTATTGCAGGTTGATTTCCAAGATTCCTCATGTTGTTATTTTCCGCTAGAAAAATTTGAAATTTTGGGAAAATCAGCTTCTCGTCTTCCTCTTTACATGCAAAATTTTCCCTTAATTAGTTTTCGTAGAAAAATTTGAATTGTGTGAGACTGTATTAACAATTATTTCAGTTTTTGTAAGTTGATTCCTATGATTTTTCATGTTATTATTTTCCAATGAAAAAATTTGAAATTGTGGGAAAATGAGCCTCGAACCTTCCTCTTCACATGCAAATAGTTTCAAATTTCTCCCTTCACTTCAAGGAAAACTTTGAAATGTGTGTGACTGTATTTTCAATTAATTCAGTTTTTGTAGGTTGATTTCAAAGATTCTTCTTGTGTTATTTTCCACTGGAAAAATTTGAAATTTTGGGAAAATGAGCCTCTAACTTTCCTCTTTACATGCAAAAAGTTTCAAAATTTTCCTTTAATTAGTTTTCCAGGAAAACTTTAAATTGTGTGAGACTGTATTAACAATTAAGTATTTCAGTTTTTGTAAGTTAAATTCCACAATTTTTCATGTAGTTATTTTCCAATGAAAAAATTTGAAATTATGTGAAAATGAGCCTCGAACCTTCCTCTTCACATGCAAAAAGTTTCAAATTTTTCAGTTAAATAGTTTTTCAGGAAAACTTTGAATTGTGTGAGATAGTATTTTTAATTAATTCAGATATTGTAAGTTGATTTCCAAGATTCTTCATGATGCTATTTTTTACTGGAAAAAAAGTGAAATTTCGGGAAAATGAGCCTCTAACCTTCCCCTTTACATACAAAAAGTTTCAAAATTTTCCTTTCACTAGTTTTCCAGGAAAACTTTGAAATGTGTGAGACAGTATTTTCAACTAATTCAGTTTTTGTAGGTTGATTTCCAAGATTCTTCATGTTGTTATTTTCCACTGGAAAAATTTGATGTTTTGGGACAATGAGCTTCTCACTTTCCTCTTTACATGCAAAAAGTTTCAAAATTTTCCCTTCACTAGTTTTCCAGGAAAACTTTAAAATGTGTGAGACTGTATTCTCAATTAATTCAGTTTTTGTAAGTTGATTTCCAAGATTTTTCATGTTGTTATTTCCGCTAGAAAAATTTGAAATTTTGGGAAAATGAGCTTCTAACCTTCCTCTTCACATGTAAAAAGTTTTAAATTTTTCCCTTTACTACTTAGTGTTCCAGGAAAACTTTGAAATTTGTGAGACTGTATTATCAGCTAATTTAGTTTTTGACAGGTTGATTTCCAAGACTCTTCATGTTGCTATTTTCTACTGGAAAAATTTGAAACTTCGGGAAAATGAGCCTCTAACCTTCCTCTTTACATACAAAAAGTTTCAAATTTTTCCCTTCACCAGTTTTCCAGGAAAACTTTGAAATGTGTGAGACTGTATTTTCAATTAATTCAGTTATTGTAGGTTGATTTCCAAGATTCCTCATGTTGTTATTTTCTACTGAAAAAATTTGAAATTCTGGGAAAATGAGCCTGTTACCTTCCTCTTCACATGCAAAAAGTTTAAAATTTTTCCCTTCATTAGTACTCCAGGAAAACTTTGAAATGTGTGAGACCGTATTATCAACTAATTCAGTTTTTGACAGGTTGATTTCCAAGACTCTTCATGTTGTTATTTTCTACTGGAAAAATTTGAAATTTCGGGAAAATGAGCCTCTAACCTTCCTCTTTACATACAAAAAGTTTCAAATTTTTCCCTTCACTAGTTTTCCAGGAAAACTTTGAAATGTGTGAGACTGTATTTCCAATTAATTCAGTTATGAAGGTTGATTCCAAGATTTTTCATGTTGCTATTTTCTACTGGAAAATTTTGAAATTATGGGAAAATGAGCTTCTCACCTTCCTCTTAACATGCAAAAAGTTTCAAAATTTTCCCTTCACTAGTTTTCCAGGAAAACTGTGAAATGTGTGACACTGTATTTTCAATTAATTCAGTTATTGTAGGTTGATTTCCAATATTCCTCACGTTGTTATTTTCTACTGGAAAAATTTGAAATTTTGGAAAAATGAGCGTCTCAGCTTCCTCTTTACACACAAAAAGTTTCAAAATTTTCCCTTCACTAGTTTTCCAGGAAAACTTTGAAATGTGTGAGACTGTATTTTCAATTAATTCAGTTATTGTAGGTTGATTTCCAAGATTCTGACATTGTTTCAGAAGATCGGATACATTTTAAAAGTGCACCGATTATGATTTCAGGAGAGGTACAAAATCTCCTTAAACATGAACCTGAGTGCAAAGGAACTTCAAGCTACTTGAAGTTAATACAAGTTTATCTGTAATTTGAAGGAATTTGCAGGGAATTTAGAGGAATTTGTGGGGTATTTGGAGAAATTTGTGGTGGGGTATTTGGAAAAAATTGTGATGGGGTATCTGGAGGAATTTTGAGGAATTATGTGTAAAAAATTACCCTTTGAGCAATTGTTTGCACAAATTCTGGGATGGTGGTTTACCCCTTGAAAATAACCCAAACTAACTTTAAATCGCACGCCTGTATTTTAAGTTTAACTGTGAGGTCCAAAATAAATATTTGTTTTCCTATTTCCAGATTAATACTGTCTCACATCAACATAGGCCACGACATACAACAATACTCAAAGTCTGTCAGACATTTAACAGAAATCCTGGATGAAATGCCATTAATGCCTACATTAATCAACTTCCCTGGTTACACTCAAGGCTTTGGCCTGGATCTTTCAGCAAATTCATTGAAAATGCTGCAACCTCAGATTGTAATTGAAATTAAAAGCAAAAATCCCAGCAAAAACTATAAAACAGACCTCACTGCAGATTTTATAAACAGTTACGATGACATATTGGGTCATGAAGACATACAAGTTAACTATAAGCATTTCACATTTGATAGTCTCTGTGAGAAAAATGAAGCTTGGGCGATAGAGGCTAGGCCTTCAAGAGAAATTTGCGTTTTGTCCTATTTTGGGCAAATGATGTCAGAAAGCACTAAGAGCTTGACTTCTCACGATTTAAGCATGTTCACTATAGATATATCTGCATTGAATATTGTGAACTTTGCAGGCGATGTTATAAATCCATTAGTTGTAAACGGATGTTTGGTGGCCCTATGTTCACTTGAAGAGAAAGATGTATTTGTTTCATATGGTTTAGGTAATTAGTATTAATTATTACATCTTTTTTTTTACTAATGAAAAAATTGTTTAGGTTTGGTAAGAGGCTTGGATTTGGAAAACGATTATTTAGTGCTTCTGACACCAGAGAAGGATTTGGAAAAAGTCACCCATTTGGTTTTGACATCTGTTAGCACTCCACCCTCTCTACTAATGTCTGCCAACGGTGTAAGGGGCAACATTCCGTTTGTTAACAAAGGCGAATTAGTGGATTTCGGGCAGTTCACGAAGAGATCTTATTTGCCACCAAGTTTACTGAAAAGAAGCTGAGTTTTTGATACTTTGTATTGTTTATTGAGAATTTTTCATTATTTTAATAAAGTTACTCCAAGTAATTTACATATTCATTCATATTAATGTTGTTCAAAGCTATATGAATAAAAATAGATTTACTATCAAAATCAAGTAGTTCAATGACCAATGAATCCTGCGCAAGAAGAAAATTGAACAATAGATTGGCCTTGGAAATTCGTGAATCAGCTGTTATATTATTTATCTTATTCGATTATCAAGAGGGCCTATAGACCTTGGCCACGTATTTGACACAAGTGGCTTTGACAAAATATAAATAAATGAAAAATGTACCGTAGATTCATAATTACTACCATCCTCAAGGCCAGTGACTCGAGTTATTGTAATAATTTCAAAAATATAAACATGTCTGCTTGTGGTAAGTAAAAATTACATAAGCAAATACAAAACTAAATTTATGAATATTTCTTGAAGCGCTTACAAGACCAGGCAACATAGTAAACTATGATCAGTTTAAAACCTTAATGCAAGATGAAAAAGTTGTTGTAATCGATGTCAGACAACCTGAAGAATTAAAAGAGCATGGGGCATTACCTAAAGGCATTAACGTACCACGTAAGAACTATATTTTCAACACTAGAGGCATAATAAGTAAAGGATTTTTTGTTTAGTAATGAATAATGAACTAGAAGAAGCTTTCAAGTCATTGACAAATGAGCAATTTTCAAAAAAATACGGACACGAGAAACCAGACAAGGACACTCCAATCATATTTTCGTGTATGAAGGGTGGTAGAAGTACCAAAGCAGAAGAAATAGCTTTAAAACTAGGCTACAAAAAGTAATTCTATTTATTGACTAATATATAGGATTTTAAATTTTGGTTTTTTTGTAGCATCAAAAACTTTACAGGAGGATGGACAGAGTGGGCAGAAAAAAACAAAAACTAATTTATTAAAATTGTATAAATTTTTCTATACCAAAATAATATACATAACAAGAGGAAGGACTAGATTATCAATTTGTGTTGTTTTAGCCTCGACCAACGATCCAACAATAACCGCTATCACTATCCTGATAACGTGCTCAAAGGTCAAAAACCACAAAACACCTAAAAACAATATTTAATACTCCAATAACAAATAAACAATAATTATTACCTAAATAAAACAGCAAATAAACAAAACCCAATTGGCTCAAAACGCACCCCAAAGTTCCTTCAATAGTTTTAAGTGAATCCTTCCATTTAAACTTGCCAAAATTCGAACCAATGTAACTAGCACTGGTGTCTCCAATACCTATCGACAATAGGCCGCTAAGTAAAGGTAGAAGACCGAATTGAGCTGAGTCTGTTACGTCGCATGGCGAGGGATGAAGCCAAATGGGCAGAGAAATACCCACCAACAAATAAATCGGTGTTAAAGCTAATAGTCCTGTGTCTTTATCGTCGCTGAACACAATGTAGCCGTCTTGCAGGCGACTGCCTAAGGGAGGAATCGATAACAGTCTTAGAATCTAGAAAAATAAGTCTTTTAAATGGATAATTAATTAATGTCTGATTGATGATTAAGTTATATTTTCTCTTTGTACTGTTAAAATCTTGCCAGTTTCCAGAGAACAAAATATCTTTTTCTCCTTTTGTTTAGCATAACATCCTGTAGAATATTGCTCATCTAGGTTTCTATCAAAAAGTTTTTTAAAATAATGGACTCTAGATACAGGTTGTCCCAAAAATTATTTGTTGTATTTAAAAAAAGTTAGCAGTAAGCTTGTGAGTTTTTAAAGATACCCTGTATGAAAGTAAATTTAAAGTTTGAATGCAAGAAATAAGTTGACAATATACTGGTGGTGATTACAGCAACAGGCTTACCATATATTTTGTATTTTATTCACATTTTGAAATTTTATTGAGTTATTCAAGACATTCAATTTGAATTTTCTGAGTTTTATACAAACTTTGATAAGTCTAGTTGAGACTGGATCATCTAGAGAAGTATGAAACTCTGATTTTTCAGTTTTTGAACCTTAAAGAGCTGAAATTGAAGTAGATAATCGTAAAAATCCTATTCCTGGCTCTACTGGTCAAAATTTAACCAAAAGATGTACAAAACTTTGATTTCTCACCATTCTATAGTTGAATGTAGACCAGAGAGGGTCACAAAAGTCATTTTTCAACTTCCTTGTGCAACTGGAGACACCTGAAAATTCTATATTCAATGATCCTAGAGCTAAAATTTGACCTAGAGAAGCATGAAAACTTTATTCGTGATACAACTGGGCCAGTTGAACTGGCCTAAAAGACATACAAAATCCTGATTTCTGACCATTCTTGTTAAAGTTGGACCAGAGAAGGTTACAAGTCATTTTTGAACTTCTTTGTACTGGAGAAGTTTCAAAACCTCAGAACCAACTCTTCCAAGGCTGAAACTCATACTAGAAAAGCATGAAAGAACATCTTTTTCTTGGTTCTGCTGATCAAAATTACTCTAAAAGATAGGTATACAAAATCCTGATTTCTCATCTTTCTATAGTTGAAAATAGACCAGAAAGGTTCACAAAACTCATTTTTGAACTTTCTTGTACTGAAATTCAATTGCAGAAATTTTGGAACTCCAGAACCAACTCTCCCAGAGCTGAAATTTACACTAGAAAAACATGAAAGAACATCTTATTCCTGACTCTGCTGATCAAAATTACCCTAAAGATATACAGAATCCTGATTTCTCACCATTCTATAGTTGAAAATGGACCAGAAAGGTTCCCAGAAGTCATTTTTGAACTTCCTTGTACAGAAATTTACTTGGAGAAGCTTTAGGACTTCAGAACCGACTCTCTCAGAACCAGAGCTAAAATTTACACTAGAAAAGCATGAAAATCTTATTTCCGGCTCTACTGGCCAAAATGTAACTAAAAGACATACAAAAGTCTGATTATCACTACTCTATGGTTGAAGTTGGACCAGAGAAGGTCACAAGTCATTTTTGAACTTCCTTGTACTGAAATTCAACTGGAGAAGCTTTAGAACACCAGAACCAACTCTCCCAGAGCTGAAATTTACATGTCTATCAACTTAGCGAGACAACTTCGAAAAATCGATTTTCCATTATGCCAAGAATTTGCCGCTTTTTTGCCGCTAATTAAATGTGGAATTAAAAAATTTGCCGCTCATTTGGTTTTTTCTTAATTACGTGTTTTGCTAACTTGACGTCAAGATAGCGAGACAACATCACTAAATATGTCAGCAGTAAAAAATTAGGTATATGAAAATTTGCCGTTTTTTTGCCGCTAATTAGTTGTGTAAACCAAAAATTTGCCGGTTCTTTTTTTTTCCATAAATAATCAAGTTTGAAAAAAAAAATCATTTGTTTCGCTAACTTGACATCAAGTTAGCGAGACATTATCACTAAAAATGTCGGTAGTGAAAAATTGAATGAATGGAAATTTGCCGTTTTTTTGCCGCTAATTAGTTGTGAAAACCAAAAATTTGTCGCTTCTTTTTTTTTACAAAAAATCAAGTTTCAAAAAAAATCACTAAAAATGTCGGTAGTGATAAATTGAGTGAGTGGAAATTTGCCGCTAATTAGCTCTTTTTCTTCAAGAAAATATCGCGTTTGAAAAAAATATCATGTATTTCGCTAACTTGACATCAAGTTAGCAAAACAGTATCAATAAAAATGTCGGTAGAAAATTTCATTCATCTGTCAAAACTGGTATTCGAACCATAAACTGGGCTCTGTGTCATTTGCGCAACAGTCGTTTGCGCGAGGGAGAAAAGCGCGATACTAAAAGCGCGAGGGACAAAAGCGCGACGGAACAAAAACGCGACTGCATAAAAGCGCGAGAAACAAAGGCGCGAGCGAGAAAAGCGCGAGAAACAAAAGCGCGAGGGACAAAAGCGCGACGGAACAAAAACGCGAAGGACAAAAGCGCGACGGAACAAAAACGCGACTGGAATAAAGCACGATTGGACAACAACGCAAGGTATCTAACTATCTACGAGGACTGTAAGCAAAAGAGGGACACATCAAATTGTATCAATAATAATCAGAAAAATGCAGCCTTACTCAAATTAACCCATACTAACCCGTTCGCCTAGTGCGATCTAGTCTTCGCTGAATAGAATTTTATTTGAAAAACAAGGCGCGGTCAAGGGACCCTACGCTATAAATAAATTGACTGTTTTTTTGGATAAAATGCTAACTTACGAGTACTGGATCGCACTAGGCGGACGGGTTATTTTGGGTTAGTTTGAGCAAGTCTGTATTTGCTTTATTATTATTGGTTCAAATTGATGTCGCAATACAGACTTACTCAAACTAACCCAAAATAACCCGTCCACCTAGTACGATCTAGTCCTCGTAAGCATTTTATTTAAAAAAGCAAAGTTAATTCACTGATTGCTCAGGGTCTCTTGAGAGCGCAGTATTTTTTAAATAAAATGCTTTGTTGCCTTTATTGATTTCAAGCGTGCTTTTGATAGCGTTAAACACTCACTACTTTGGAGAAAACTCCATAGTTTTGGGGTTCCTCCCTCCTATATAAACATCTTAATTCAGATTTACTGTAACGCTTCAGCTAAAGTAAAATGCTCTGACGGACTTTCAGACCCAATTGGAATAAGTGAAGGCGTACTTCAGGGAGAACCACTATCCCCTTTTCTGTTTTTACTGTTTCTCTCTGATATCATACAGTTTTTTGAGGGTAAGGGAGCTAGGCTAATTAATATTGATGGTGTTAATGAACTTTTTATGCTGCTCTATTGTGACGACCTAATTGTTTTCGGGCTTTCAGAACGAGATCTACAATGCAACCTGAATATCCTGGCTGAGTATGTACAGGAGAACAATTTGGCAGTCAATGTTGCAAAGTCCAAAATAATGTGTTTCAGGAGAGGGGGTTTTCAAGCTAGTTACACCAAAAGATTTATTTTCAAAAACGAACCCCTTGAAATTGTCAATGAATATACATACCTTGGAGTCACTTTCACTGCATCTTCTAAATTTCGAATTATGGCAGACAAATCTGTCTCAAAATGCAAACAGGCCATTGGCGCGGCAGTTTCACATCTATCAAAGTCTAAATCATTTTCAATTACTTCAAGACTTAAAATATTTGAAACGTGTGTACTTAACATAATGTCTGGGTCCGCACCCATCTGGGCCCTAAGATATCTAGACGTCCTTGAACAGATACAAACATCATTTCTCAAAAAATCTCTTTGCCTAAAAGCACCTCTTCAGCCATACTTCGCCTGGAGTTTGGCGTTTCTCCTATAGCGACAACTATACTTAAATGGACTCTCAACTTTCTCAAAAGGTTGCTCTCTATGGATGAAAGCAGATTACCCTTAATTTGCCTTAAAAGGCAACTACAGCTTATCGACTCGCCGCTAGCATATAACTGGCTATCGCAACTCAAATTGGTACTTACTGGAACAGGTTTTGATAATATTTTGATTAATAATTTAACACCAAGATTTGTAACTAGACGAAAAATCGATCAAATAATTGACAAATACCGAGAGCTATCCTTTCGGAAAGATATTGCTTTGGCTAGAGATTCCAGTTATATGACCTTTTATCCATTTTTATCAATAACAAAAAATCCAGCTACTTATTTAACATTTAGAGTACAAACATTTGTTTTGAAACTCATAGCGCAAACAAGACTTGCCAACAAATACCTATGTGCTTTTACCTTTAATTCTATCCTCTATAAACTTGACCCCCGCATAATATGTACAGTTTGTAACACCTCTGAACTAGAGACATTAGACCACATTCTTTTCAGATGTCCAATGTATAGAGAAGTCAGACCATTAACATGGTCGAGCCCTGACTCATTTCTCAATTTACTTGAAACCTTAGCTCCAGTATCTGCCAAAACATTTGCTTCCACCATAATGTCATTCCTCAGGCTTCGATCCTTTTTGATATCGCAGGATTAGAATTTGTTAGAAATATCAACTTTCTCTCTTTTTTTTGTTGTATAGACCCCTTCCATAGGTACTTTTATTAGGCACCAAAATGTGAACCCTTCTGGTTTTTAGTTTATACATAGAAATACAAGTAACTTTATCTTTCGCTTTGTAATTAGATTAAGATTATTTAGATTATTATTATTTTTTGTTCGTTTCTAATAACAAATACGTATCCAAATTCAAAACAAATTATATTCCCTCCTTTATAAGTTTATTTTTGCTTTTGTAATTCAAACCACTACGTTTACTAGATTTAGAGCACTCATTGTTATAGAAAATACTTTCTGGAAACAATAAAAATTGAATTGAATTGAATTGAATAAAATGCTAACTCACGAGGACGAGATTGCCCTAGACGGACGGGTTAGTTTGTTAAGTCTACATAATTTTGATTAATATTGGAAAAATTTGATGTTTCCCTCTTTTGCTTAGAGGTCGTCGTTGTAAATCACTCTTTTAATTTGTCACTGTTCTGAATCTCGTTCTTTACATATGTCGCTCTTTTGATATGTTGCTGTTTTTTTTAGATGTCGCTGTTCCAAATGTCGCTATTTTGATATATCGCTTTAACAATATGTCGCCTTTTTGATGTTGCTATTTTAAATATCGTTCTTTTGAACCGGAGCCACCGAAAATATCTTGTATTTTGGAAAACGATCTTCAGTTCTCGTAGTAAGGCACTTCGCGTTCTTGGCCAATCGCGCTTTATCCAGCTGCGTTTTTGTTCTGTCGCGCTTTTGTCCCCTCGCGCTTTGTCGCTCGCGCTTTTGCTTCTAGCGCTTTTATCCAGTCGCGTTTTTGTGCAGTCGTGCGCTTTTGTCCCTCGCGCTTTTGTTCCTCGCGCTTCTATCCAGTCGCGTTTTTGTCCATCGCGCATTTGTCCTGTCGCGTTTTTGTTCCGTCGTGATTTTGTCCCTCGCGCTTTTTATATCGCACTTTTCTCCCTCGCGCAAATGACACAGATCCCATGCATAAACTGGCATTTTTTAATTGTTGATTGCAACCAATCAGATTACGATTACGTGATAATTTGTACTAGTGCAAGATTATCGGATTGGATAATTGCTTAACTAACGGGTGGCATTTGACATTTTTTCTGATTGGTGACATTTTATACTTACGAGGATATACTAAAAATTTAAATTTTTGATTCATGAAATTCTCTCATAAAATACAACTCGAGCAATGGAAATATATCGATAATTTTTGAGAAATTTGCTCTCATGCATTTTTAACTGGAAAAGGCACTCTCGTCCCTCGTGCTTTTTTTCAACTAAAAATGCATTCGGGAAAATTTGCCAAAAATTATCGATAATTTCCATTTTATTCCAATTTAATTTTATTTCTAATTTTATTTTATTTTCTGTATAAATGAGCACACGATATTTCGCTTTCTGATTTTTGAAATCTATAAGGCCTCCAATAGAGTTTTCCTAAGCTAAAGAAAAAAAAAACTGAAAAACTATTTTCAAAAAATTTAGAAATAAATATTTGTTCCAACAAATGTTGAGTTTCACTAATTAAAATATACTTACAGGGTGCATAAAAAAAATCAAGGGTGGGAGATCATTTATAACGGAACACCCTTTTACTCACCTAATTTTATACTGCCATACGTTTTTTTGTCGGTCTAACTTAACGGCAACCTTGCGAAACACAAGTTTTTTTCAAACACGATTTTTTCATGGAGAAAAAGAGCGGCAAATTTTTGGGTTTTCATATTTAATTAGCGGCAAAAAGCGGCAAATTTCCACAGCTTTTCTCTATCACTCCATTTTTCTCTACCGACATTTTTAATGATACTGTTTTGCTCACTTGATGTCAACTTAGCGAAACACATCATATTTTTTTCAAACGCGATATTTTCCACTCACTCAATTTATCACTACCGACATTTTTAGTGATCTCGCTAACTTTACGTTAAATTAGCAAGACATTATTTTATTTTCGAACACGATTTTCTTATGAAAAGCAAGGTAGCGGCAAATTTTTAGTTTTCACATCTAATTAGCGGCAGAAAAACGGCAAATTTCCATTCACTCAACTTATCACTACCGACATTTTTAGTGATTGTCTCGCTAACTTGACGTCAAGTTAGCGAAACACATGATTTTTTTTGAAACTTGATTTTTTGTAAAAAAAAAGAAGCGACAAATTTTTGGTTTTCACAACTAATTAGCGGCAAAAAAACGGCAAATTTCCATTCATTCAATTTTTCACTACCGACATTTTTAGTGATATTGTCTCGCTAACTTGACGTCAAGTTAGCGAAACAAATGATTTTTTTTTTCAAACTTGATTATTTATGGAAAAAAAAAGAACCGGCAAATTTTTGGTTTACACAACTAATTAGCGGCAAAAAAACGGCAAATTTTCATCTACCTAATTTTCTACTGCTGACATATTTAGTGATGTTGTCTCGCTATCTTGACGTCAAGTTAGCAAAACACGTAATTAAGAAAAAACCAAAAGAGCGGCAAATTTTTTAATTCCACATTTAATTAGCGGCAAAAAAGCGGCAAATTCTTGGCATAACGGAAAATCGATTTTTCGAAGTTGTCACGCTAAGTTGATAGACATGAAATTTACACTAGAAAAGTATGAAAGAAAATCTTATTTTTGGCTTTACTGACCAAAATTACCCTAAAAGATATATAAAATCCTGATTTCTCACCATTCTATAGTTGAAAACGGACCATAGAGGTTCACAAAACTCATTTTTGAACTTCCTTGTACTGAAATTCAACTGCAGAAGCTTTAGAACTCCAGAACCAACTCTCCCAGAGCTGAAATTTATACTAGAAAAGCATGAAAGAAAATCTTATTCCTGGCTTTACTGACCAAAATTACCCTAAAAAATATAAAAAAATCCTGATTTCTCACCATTCTATAGTTGAAAAGGGACCAGAAAGGTTCACAAAAGTCATTTTTGAACTTCCTTGTACTGAAATTCAACTGCAGAAGCTTTAGAACTCCAGAACCAACTTTCCCAGAGCTGAAATTTATACTAGAAAAGCATGAAAGAAAATCTTATTCCTGGCTTTACTGACCAAAATTACCCTAAAAAATATAAAAAAATCCTGATTTCTCACCATTCTATAGTTGAAAATGGACCAGAGAGGTTCACAAAAGTCATTTTTGAACTTCCTTGTACTTGAAATTCAACTGCAGAACCTTTAGAACTCCAGAACCAACTCTCCCAGAGCTGAAATTTATACTAGAAAAGCATGAAAATCTTATTCCCGGCTCTGCTGACCAAAATTACCCTAAAAAATATAAAAAAATCCTGATTTCTCACCATTCTATAGTTGAAAATGGACCAGAACGGTTCACAAAAGTCATTTTTGAACTTCCTTGTACTGAAATTCAACTGCAGAAGCTTTAGAATTCCAGAACCAACTCTCCCAGAGCTGAAATTTAAACTAGAAAAGCATGAGAATCTTATTCCCGGCTCTGCTGACCAAAATTACCCTAAGATATACAAAATACAAAATCCTGATTTCTTATAAAAGATAGGTTGAAACAAATATTAGATAGATTAGAAAGAGAAAATATTATAAGAAGAGTAGATGAGGCAAGTGAGTGGGTAAATAATTTAGTAATTATTGAAAAACCTGATAAATTCTTAAGATTGTGTTTAGATCCTCAAGACTTGAATAAGTGCATTGAAAAGCAATTTTTTGAAATCCCTTGTCTGGAAGAAATTAGTTCTAGATTAGCAGGCAAGGAATATTTTTCTGTATTAGATTTCAAGGATGGTTTTATCAAATAAAATTGGATAAACCCTCTAGTAATTTAACAACATTTGCTACTCCGTTTGAGTGTTACGAGTTTCGCAGGTTACCATTTGGCTTGAATCTGGCACCTGAATATTTCCAAAAAAATAATTATAAATGAAAACTTTGGGAATCTTGAAAATGTTATAATATATTTTGAACTTCCTCGTACTAAAATTCAACCGGAGAAGCTTCAGAACTCCAAAACCAACTCTCCCAAAGCTGAAATTTACACAAGAAAAGCATGAAAGAAAATTTTATTTCTGAATCTGCTGAACAAAAAAACCCTAAAAGATATACAAAATCCTGATTTCTCACCATTCTATAGTTGAAAATGGACCAGAAAAGTTCACAAAAGTTATTTTTGAATTTCCTTGTACTGAAATTCAACTAAAGAAGCTTCAGAACAGACTCTCCCAGACCTGAAATTTACACTAGAAAAGCATGAAAATCTTTTTCCCGGCTCTGCTGACAAAAATTGGCCTAAAAAATATAGAAAATCTTGATTTCTCACCATTCTATAGTTGGAAATGGACCAGAAGGGTTCACAAAAGTCATTTTTGAACTTCCTTGTACTGAAATTCAACTGGAGAAGCTTTGGAACTCAAGAACCAATTCTCCCAGAGCTAAAACTTTCAAAGATGATTTTAAAGATGCTGGAAACTGAAACTTTGAAGATGCCAAAGATTGTACAAACTTGAAAAACTCTTAAAGCTCATAATTGAAGACTTCAAACATACAATTTTCATCTTAGACATAATATTCTACACCTTCAAAATATTACAAAGCATCCCTTTTGGGATTTTTATAGAACATGAATGTCTGTATATTCTATTCATTGCAGCATTTCTGGTTATTCCTAGGGAGAAATCCTGTAATAATTACTTGCCCTTACCTCTAGCACAAAAAACACCCCTAAAACAACTCCACTGGCCAAATACAAAAACGAACAACGAAAATAAAGGCCAGGCACGTAAACCAAAACTGCCAATACGTGAAACACTTTTCTGGTACTGGTAGAGGCTCTTTTGGCATAATAAATTTGGTTGCTCACAGCCAAAATGGCAACAGCTATGCACAAAGTCCAATAGGCAAATAATTTAAGCTAGAAAAAACATTGTGAATATTTTAAATATAATTTACATGAAACTTACTAATAAAACATCACCTAAAACTTGTCCAAATATCCACAAAACGGGGCTCTGCCCCAAAATAACGTGCAAAGGAACTATAATGGTAATTGTAAGCGTAACAATTGCAGTCAAATAAAATGCCTTAGGTTGTCTTATGTTGAATTTATAAAGCACATAAGCCAATGTGATAATACCTAATAAACCAATCTAAAAAACCTTTTTGTATAAGTCAAACATTTACAAACTTACTTGTATGATAACTGTAGATATTTGCATGTTACTCCTCAACAAATTAGGATTATTTAAGTTCAACACAGTGCTGTAAATGAATAAAGTAAGGCCTTGTGCTGTTAAACCAGCCTCACCCAAAGTAAAACTTTCAGTCAAAGTTCCAAGTAAAAACTTGAAGCATTTTAAAAAAAATACACTACAACCTAAGCCACTTGCAATTGCAAAACCCCAACCTGAAATTTTCTTTGATTTAAATTGTGTTGCATTATTAAAACCCACATTACCCTTTTGTAACCAAACATTAAACAAACACCCGGTAATAAATGCAATAATCAACATCCACACGTTGATTATTTTCAACCTTTCGTTGTTGAGACATTTTACAACCACATAAACCGAGTTGCAAAGCAACGCAAATGCAATTACCGTGGTTAATTTGTAAGTGGGTGTAAGAATAATTGGGTGGCTTAATGAAGAGACAATTAACGTGATAGGCAATAGGAACAAGGCCCATAGTCCTTGACTACCATTCGGCCTGCAAATAATTGGTAAGTAATAATTTTCATTGTGATAAGTTGTGTTAATACTTACCTTACAGAAAAATTGTTTTTTAAGTAGAATTCTTCTAGGATTTTTTGAGGCATTATTATTAATAGGTGAATTGGAGTGTTTAGGTGCTTTAACGATACAAATTTGGTTTTATTTAATTTAATTAAAGCTGCATTTTTGGGATTTTTGGCCTTTTTATTTTAGTTTTGCTTCAAAGTTCAAGTGTTTGTGTGATGATAAAGGTTTGAGGTTATGTTGATTATGCTGATACAGGTAGGATGCTCTTAAAAAAAAAGTTAATGTGTTTTTAATAATTTAATAGTTAATTATATGATTAGTTTAAGCTGAATTATTGCATTTTTTCTGTTGTTTGTTGTTTAATTTGCTTTATTATTTATTAATTTAAATTTGATTTATTTTTCAAAATTCAAAAAGAAAATTTGGCAACCCTGTACAAATTTTCATGATTGACAAGTTTTGACAACAGTCAACCTAACCTCAAAAAGATCCCTGTCCCTCCGTAACCATAACATAAGAATTTTTTTATTTCTGAGAGAGTTTTTCAGGGAATATTATTCAATTTGAAGGAAACTATATTATAATTTAACGGAATAATATGGGATAAATATAAACACATAATATTAAAAACCGTTTGCAGCCACAAAATCAACCAAATATTATTTTTGATTAGAAAAACCTTCATCCAACCAATTTGAAGAAAATGAATGTTTTAAAAGACAATTCCAGGTTTACGAGTTACTTGGACGAGCCTGAACTAGAGGTACAGTATAGTTACTTTAAAATTCAATAATAAAAACAAAATTTTATCCCCTATTAAAGAGTATTACATTAGAAGACTCTCAACGTACCAAATTTTTGGATGGTAAGTTTTTAATACACTACTGTTCATATTCACAATTAAACCCCTCAAACATTTTAGGAGAAACCATTGTATGTGAGGCCCCGCAAGTTTTAATGTACACCCCTCTAACCCAAACAAACAAACCCCTAAAAGGTGTACTAACGGTAACAACATTTAAACTATCTTTCGCTTCTGCTGAAGATTACGAATCATATTCGAATTGCTATCAGCAGAATTATCTTTTAGGAGTAAGTATTGATAATTGCCATAAATAAATAGGAATTTATACTTTATTAATTTCACAGGTTAATGATGTTTGTTTATCTTTGATTGATTGTATTTATCAGCTTGGTGAACGCAATAAGAAAAAATTGTTACCTGGGCAAAGCATTAGTGGTAAAATAAAAGAATTGTTAATAGTTTGTAAGGTAAGTTTCTAAGTTAAATTTATTATTTTTGTAGTATATTGACCATTATGTAGTACACAATAGATAATAAAAGTCCTTATTCTCACAATTATTATCTATTGTGTACTACAAATTAATGTATTATGTATTTGTATCAATTTCAAAATGAAGCAAAGTAGCTCAGTATAAAATAATGTGGTTGTATATTGTAAATAAACTTATCCTTGAATTTTTACATTAGGTTGTCGTATACATTTCAGGGAAACAAAACCAAATTTTGCACACCCATCTTTCTCATATTGGAGAATATATTTTTGTACAACTTTGTTGGGAATGTTTTTGTATCTACCTAATTTTAGATAATTCCTAATCCCCTTTGATGGTAATTAATTGAATTCAATGAATAATTCAAGTTTTCTTGGTAACAAATAAATTTATACCTGTTTTGTTCACAATACTCAATACATACCTTTTCTAGACCTCTACTCTTCACAATCACTAACTAATCAGCACAAAATAACATTCCTTGATAATACATCAGACTATTAATTGTTTATAGCTAATTATTTATAATAAATAAACAAGACACACAGAATATAATTATTACAAAGACAAAAAGCTTCTACGGCATGACAATGCGATTCGTGACAAAACAGTAGTATGACATATGACTTACCATAATTGACGTACTGACGTGAATATAGTCACAATTCTTAATAATTTGGAACGTGGCTAATTATTTAAATAATTACATCATTCACATCTCAACACTCTTTATCCTTGAGGCTAAAGACACAATGACAAATACAAAGTACAAAGAAAGGACTTATACAAAATACCAAAAAAATAAAATTTTGTATCCTGGCATGGCAAGTAAATTGTATCCTGTATCTATTTATTCTGGGTTATAGCCGAGGTTATAGCATTGATTATCGCATTGATTCACACACCTATTATTATATTTTTGTCTCTTGTCACTTGTACTTTGTATTTGCCATTGTGTCTTCAGTCTAAGCAATCTTAATATACATTCTATTATAGATATTGTATTTTTTTCCTCACATGGTTGGACAAAGTATACAAAACTAGTAGAATACTAGAGAAAAAAATAACTATTTTCTCAATTTCCTGCTAATATCTGATTCTAATGTAGTTTTAAATTTTTCCAGAATATGAAGTATTTTGAATTAAGCTTTAAAAACAGCGATAAAGATAGCGGTAAGCTCATAGCAAATGCCCTTTTACATCACGCCTACCCCAAAAGACATCAACTTTTATTTGCTTACGATTATAAGTAAGTAAACTAATAAATTCAATACAATAACTATATTATTGGTAGAGAGAACTTTTGTGTTGAGGACAAAGTGAAATAAAACTTTCTTATTTACCAACCTTTTATTTGAGTCTTTGCCAAGGTTGAAAGCAACATTTACAATTACTATCCTACAGGAGGGTGTCCTTAAATAAACTGACACATTTTGCAGGTAAATATCTCTAAAACAAGAAAAGGTAATGAGATGTGATTTGTTCTGTTCGATAAACAGACCCTACTCAATAAATTCAGAAAGTTTTAAGACCCTCTGATTACTTGAAGTATATTTCAAAAGCTTCCAAAGGTGATTTAATAGAAATTTCACTTGATTTTATTACATCTAAGTGAGAAAAAATTCAGAATTCCATTTCTAAGCCTGAGATCCATTTGCGGTTTGTTTTGTTTGATGAAAAAACCCTGCTCAATAAATGCTGAAAGTATGAAGTCCCTTTGATTGCTTGAAGTATTTTTCAGAAGCTTCCAAAGGTGGTTTGATAAAAATATTTAAAGATTTTTTGCATTAAAATGAGAAAAAATTCATAATTCCATTTCTGAGCCTGAGATCCATTTGCGGTTTGTTATGTTTGATAAAAAGACCCTCTACTCAATAAATCCTGAAAGTTTGAAGTGTCTTTGATTGCTTGAAGTATTTTTCAGAAGCTTCCAAAGGTGGTTTGATAGAAATATTTAAAGATTTTTTGCATTAAAATGAGAAAAAATTCATAATTCCATTTCTGAGCTTGATATCCGTTCGCAGTTTGTTCTGTTTGATAAAAAGACACTACTCAATAAATCCTGAAAGTGTGGAGTCCCTTTAATTGCTTGAAGTATTTTTCAGAAGATTCTAAAGGTGGTTTGATAGAAATATTTAAAGATTTTTTGCATTTAAATGAGAAAAAAATTATAATTCCATTTCTGAGCCTGAGATCCATTTGCGGTTTGTTATGTTTGATAAAAAGACCCTCTACTCAATGAATCCTGAAAGTTGAAGTCCCTTTGATTGCTTGAAGTATTTTTCAGAAGCTTCCAAAGGTGGTTTGATAGAAATATTTAAAGATTTTTTGCATTTAAATGAGAAAAAAATCATAATTCCATTTCTGAGCCTGAGATCCATTTGCGGTTTGTTATGTTTGATAAAAAGACCCTCTACTCAATGAATCCTGAAAGTTGAAGTCCCTTTGATTGCTTGAAGTATTTTTCAGAAGCTTCCAAAGGTGGTTTGATAGAAATATTTAAAGATTTTTTGCATTTAAATGAGAAAAAAATCATAATTCCATTTCTGAGCCTGAGATCCATTTGCGGTTTGTTATGTTTGATAAAAAGACACTCTACTCAATGAATCCTGAAAGTTTGAAGTCCCTTTGATTGCTTGAAGTATTTTTCAGAAGCTTCCAAAGGTGGTTTGATAGAAATATTTGAAGATTTTTTGCATTTAAATGAGAAAAAATTCAAAATTCCATTTCTAAGCCTGAGATCCATTTGCGGTTTGTTATGTTTGATAGAAAGACACTCTACTCAATGAATCCTGAAAGTTTGAAGTCCCTTTGATTGCTTGAAGTATTTTTCAGAAGCTTGCAAAGGTGGTTTGATAGAAATATTTAAAGATTTTTTGCATTTAAATGAGAAAAAGATCATAATTCCATTTCTGAGCTTGATATCCGTTCGCGGTTTGTTCTGTTCGATAAAAAGACACTACTCAATAAATCCTGAAAGTTTGAAGTCTCTTTGATTGATTGAAGTATTTTTCAGAAGCTTGCAAAGGTGGTTTGATAGAAATATTTGAAGATTTTTTGCATTAAAATGAGAAAAAATTCATAATTCCATTTCTGAGCCTGAGATCCATTTGCGGTTTGTTCTGTTTGATAAAAAGACCCTACTCAATAAATTCTGAAAGTTTGAAGTCCCTTTGATTGCTTGAAGTATTTTTCAGAAGCTTCCAAAGGTGGTTCGATAAAAATATTTAAAGATTTTTTGCATTTAAATGAGAAAAAATTCATAATTCCATTTCTGAGCTTGATATCCATTCGAGGTTTGTTCTGTTTGATAAAAAGACGCCACTCAATAAATCCTGAAAGTTTGAAGTCCCTTTGATTGCTTGAAGTATTTTTCAGAAGCTTCCAAAGGTGGTTTGATAAAAATATTTAAAGATTTTTTGCATTTAAATGAGAAAAAAATCATAATTCCATTTCTGAGCCTGAGATCCATTTGCGGTTTGTTATGTTTAATAAAAAGACACTCTACTCAATAAATCCTGAAAGTTTGAAGTCCCTTTGATTGCTTGAAGTATTTTTCAGAAACTTCCAAAGTTTGTTCGATAAAAATATTTAAACATTTTTTGCATTTAAATGAGAAAAAATTCATAATTCCATTTCTGAGCTTGATATCCATTCGCGGATTGTTCTGTTTGATAAAAAGACACTACTCAATAAATCCCTTCATACCTTGCTAAGGTTCATTCAATATTTAGTTGCCGCACTTTATAACTGTCAGTATCATGATGGTGATTGTAAATGTTTTTCTTGCTTTCGGCCTTGATTTAAATAAGTTGTATTCCACTTTATCCTTAACCCACATCTCTTTACTACAATAAATACTTTGAAAGCCACTATATTTTCACTATGTCAAAATTTCAGGGAGCCTTACATAAACACTGCTCTAATAAAAGAAGCAAAACTTTTCCAATTCAAACACGATTGGGAAAAAGAACTCCAAAGAACAAATTGTCCCGGTTGGAGATTGAGCCACGTAAATTTCAATTACCAAGTATCTCCTTTGCTAATCGAAACCATTATAGTTCCACAATCTGTCACAGATAGCATCATAAAAGAAGCAGTCGAAAAATTCAGAAGTCGATTTTGTCCCGTATGGGTTTGGGGTACTTCACAAGGTGCCGCCTTAGTAAGGATGGCCGATTTATTACCAACAATAACCGATAGAACTGAGGAAAACAAATTGCTAGAACACATAAGAAAAAGTCACCCGCAAAAGAAAGCTCCGCATATTATTGATCTCACTAGTCCTAGTCCTAAAGATATTTATACAAGCTACGTTAAATTAAGAGATTTGTGCACCCCAGAAACCCCTAGAGTATTCAAAAGCCAGGATTTTAAGTTTTACGGTCTATTGGATGCGACAAAATGGTTGTCACATGTATCTACGTGTTTAAGTAAAGCCAAAGAAGCTGCTGAAAAAATCGAACACAGCAATTTCACTGTCGTTTTGCAAGAAGGCAACGGACAAGATTTGAATTGTTTAGTGTCCAGTTTAACGCAAATAATACTGGATCCGTATTTTAGGACAAAGTTTGGCTTTCAGTCTTTGATTCAAAAAGATTGGGTTGTTATGGGGCATCCGTTTGCTAATAGATTAAGACATATTTTAAGTAAGGTGAGTATTTTTTTTAGAATATCACTGGGGAGTTAGTATAAGCTAGGTTTTTTTTTAGGATGTAGAACAATCTCCGGTATTTTTACTGTTTCTCGATTGCGTGTGGCAGCTACTGCAACAATATCCTGCGGCCTTTCAAATAAGTGAAACTTATCTTACTACTCTTTGGGATTCGGCGCACTTATCTGTCTTTGACACTTTTCTTTTTAATTGTCAACATCAACGATTTATGGCTAGTACGGTAAGAATAATTGGTTATTAGAAGTGATGAGGTTCTTATGTTTTAAATTTTGATAGAATTTACCTATAAAAAAAGTGTTACAACCTGTAGAATGTTCAAGCTTTCAGGGTCTGAAGTAAGAAGAGTAATGTTGAGATTCTTCAAATGGTTCATATTTTCTTAAAAACATCCTCCTGAACTTTGTTGACCAGTCAGAAACAATTACTCCGAGGGCAAATACCCTTACCAATGTTGAACTACACTGATTGGTCTGACGTTTCGTTGGCAATGAAAATTGTTAGGAAGTTTTTTCAGGTAATGGCATTATCTGAAAAAACTTCCTAACAAACATCTCCCTGTTAATAGTAAAAGTAATTCATTCAAAACAAATAAAGAGGAGTTTAGAAACTTTTAAACTCTTGAATCTGAAAAAATGCAAGTTAACAAAGTTACATGAAATTCTATGTATAATGTTTAATCTAAGACCATGTAACCAATGATATTTTCACTTTAGGGAAACTGTAATGCCCATATCCCATTAACCCTAAGAAGCGTCTGGGATTGGCGCGAACAATTCAGCGAAAAAGACATAGCATTATTTTGCAACCCCCTCTACAATGACCGTTATATCGAAGCGTTGCGACCCAGCACCGGGTTGCCCAACTTGGAAGTGTGGGGTCAGTGCTACTTCAGGTGGATCTCGGATTTGGAAATTCCTAGAGGCGGCAGGCCCCAAATCGACTTGTTCAGTCGGTATTTGGTGCAAGATATTTTGCAAAAACAATACAACAGTGCGGATGTTAATGGGACATTGGTGAAAATTAATAGGAATATGGAAGAGTATGTGGATTTGGTTAAGAAAGTCAATGGGTTTTTTCCGTTTAGTCATAATAGTGCTTTGGTTAATAATCCGATTAATAATGTGCTTCTGACGGGTGATACGTTGGATTCTCAGTCAATACTTAATTTGAATAACGAATAAATGATTTATGGGAAACAAGTCTTCTTGAAGTGGGCCTTAAAATATACAACTTTCATGCCATAGATAATCTAAACATCCTATGAAGTTCTCATGGTAAAAACATGAATATGAATTCCATGAATCTATATGCTCCTTTTGTTTGTTTGCTAAAGATTTTTAGTGCCATTTCTGAACAAAATACGTACTAAGGCCTTAATTTGAACCAAATAACATAATTATTTCTTCCAGTTTAAATAGTAATAATATGCCAAAATTTAGGTAATGAAGCAGCTTTAATGATAAGTAGAATAAATTATTGATTTTGGTTTGGTACTTGCATTATACAGGGTGTCCCACAAGGTTTTTCCCAAATGATAACTTCGGAACGCATAATTTTTTATCATTTTCTTTACCAAACCCTTAACAAATACCTATGGCATTGCCGATTTTGTAATTTAATTTTCTAACGAAAAATTTCATAATATACCATGAGTTACATTTAAGATTCGAAAGTTGACGTCACTTGAACTAAATTCAAGCAAATGTGGTGAAATTGGATGATAATGGTAAGAAGCACAAAAAGTTACCCTAGATCCTCAAAATTTCAATTATATTGGATGAAACGTTCTGAAGTTATTTATTACCTGGGAAAAAGGTTGTGGAACACCCTGTATATATTTCTTTTTTAACTCAAGCTTAGAATTATCCTTATTTATTTGACTTTTATTAAGTTGTTGATAATGTAAGTAACCCACAAATAATTTATTCATGTAAATTGAACAATGTTTAAATGTTGCTGTACATATTTTCATACTAAACCAATACCAAATAATAAATATGTAATATTTTTATTTATATTTGTATTTATCAGCTATAACTTCTGTGAATATGTCTTTAAGGTTTATTATATTATTATAATACGTTTTTCTTTTTGGCTAAAAGTGTCTTGATTGGAAAATCCTCTAAAAGCATTGAAATTCAAATTTCCCTCCTGAAAATAGAAATCAATTTTAATAATTCCTAGTTCCTTAGATTATCTACATCCTTTTCTATCCTATCATTAACAAAAGAGAGAGATTACACCCAATATATACTGTCATTAGATTGTAAACAAAGCAACATAACCTCACTCAATTGAAAATCGCAAAATGTACCATAAAAATGCCTCTAAAATTCGCTAATTACCCATTTTTGGGTTCCAGAAAACGCAAAAGGCTATGCCTAATTACAACAACTCTGGTTTGTCTGCTATTTATAATTTATCAGTTTATTATGTATTACATGGTTTCCACTGAAAGCCCCATTAAAAATCCCTCTGTTAAGGCTTTGGTAAGGGGCACACATTTCAAAGAAAACGCTTTTTACAAGTCCATCGAAGGGAAATTTACTTGTATTAAAAGTGGAGAAGTTATCGCATTTGATAAGGTAAATGATGATTATTGCGATTGTGCCGATGGTACCGACGAACCTGGTACCAGTGCTTGTCCAAATGGTATATTTTATTGTACCAACAATAAAAAGTATCCAAAATTGATTCCTTCGAGTAAAGTCAACGATGGAATTTGCGATTGTTGTGACGGATCAGAAGAATATAACAATGAGAATTTGATAAGAAATTTTGATAGTAAGTATATACGAATGGAATTTATGCACTTTAGGGATTAAAAGTACCCTGTTTTAAGGGAGTAAAGTGGGTCTTTTAATCCCTGGGATTAAATTTTATGTTATTTCCTAAGGGATTGAATTTTTACTTTATTTCCCGGGTATTAAATGAAACAAGGAATAAAAAGGTACTTTTAATCTCTAGGGATTGAACGTGTACTTTTAATCCCTCTGGGTGATCTATTATACCTGAATGTCACCCCCTCCCAACTTTTTCACTTGACGTTTTTAACACAAGTGTCAAATACAAAAGTTTCAGGAAACTGTCAAAAGTTTTTAACTAAGTCAGTTTCAACAGTTTTTTCAAGCATACAAGCTGCGTCAAAAAAGTTTAGCAGTGCAAAGTTATAAAATTTTAAATGGAGTAACATGTCTATTGTGCGCTTATTTGAGAGTCCACTTCAACCTGATTTCAACAATATATAGTTTGATATGTCTATCTGCACTAGTTATAGGGAAACACGAAAATTTCTGTCAAGGTGTCATGTTGAAGAAAGAAACAATCAGGCCTATGATGTATCCTGTCCTGTTATTTTAACGGCTGTGTTAAGGTTCAACATCTATTTGTGTCTCAATTTTGACGTATAGAATAAACAGTGACAGATAACTTAACATTGCTGTTATAATAACAGAAAATGATACATCATAGGCCTGATTATATCTACCATTAAAGCTTTAGACGCTATTATAACCATATAATACTGTCCTTTAGTATTCCTAGATATTTCCAAATTAGTCCCAGTATTTCCCAGGTAGTTCTAAGTATTTACCGATTGTTACAAAGTATTCCCATGTATTCCTAGTTATTTCCATCCTAGTCCCAAGTATTCCTAAGTATTTTTATTATGTATTCCCATGTTGTTTTTTTTTTTTTTAATAATTTCCTATGTATTACTAAAGGAGATGTGACTCAATAATTAAAGCTTTAGTGCTCGTTTTAGTGTTAAAAAATCTTAGAATAAATATTTGAATCGCATCTTGCTACGATCAACCGTTTTCGAGTTAGGGCGGTTTGAAGTAACAAACGCCTAGACTGTGACGTCACACCAGCTTCTGTGGAACAGTTAAAATACGTATAAAATTTTCCAAAATAAAAGTCAATGATCCCACTTAGAGCGATTTGCAACCACTCAAAGTATAGGACACGGTTCACTGACGACTAAACAAACAGAAGGCTGTGATTTCGGCAGTTAGCCGGTGTGACGTCACAAAATTTGTCTTCATAAGGAGATTTATTTTGAATATAGGACTGCGGCTTTCACAAGAGATTTTAGATTATTTTTTTCTTGATTTAAGTGCCTCAAGTTGTTTTTTTGGGTCACACTAGCTAAGTCAGAAAATAGTACTTGAAATGTTTGCTAGTGTACATTTGAAAGTCTTTTAATCGAGATTTTAATAATATCAAGAAAGAAATACAGGGTGTCCCACTGGGAGCTACATCGATCTATATGTGAAAAACTGTATGCAGAAAATTTTTGAAAATTTTACACTACAGTGTACTATTTTCAATGGGGGTAACCCGGCTAAAATATTTTCAAGATGGTGGCACTTCCTGTTATACGAGAAGTAAACTTCAACGGCTTATTTTAAATGAGACACCCTGTATATGATTGCACATTCACCATCACTAAAAGAAACCTTAAATATAATTTAGTTGAAACAACTATAGGTAGTTATAGTTTTAAGTAATCCTTTTACCTACTTCAAATATTGAATAGGATGACTTTCCACGCGCGAGATTTTCTCTTGTGGGGTATATTTGGTATTTATTGTTACTGGCCAAACCTGTATATTGAATGTGAAAAAAAATTACAATAAATGCTATATAATATTTAGATTCTACGTAAAATTCTGAGCAGATTTCATGTGATACACAATATACCTAAGTTCAACTGTTTTGGAAATATTGACAGTCGAAAATTGACTTTTTGCAACTTTGCCCAGAGATTAAATTTAATTGGAATTTTTAATCATGGATTAAATTCAAAGTTGGTGTCAAATGATAGTTTATGAAAATCTAAGATGGGAATGTAAAATCGGTTTTCCTCTAAAATTAACCATTTAGGTTTTACAGCCTGTCAAAGTTGCAAAAAGTCAATTTTCGGCTGTCAATATTTCCAAAACCGTTGAACTTAGGGTATATCACAAGAAATCTGCTTAGAATTTTACGTAGAATCCAAATATGCAATCATGTACAAAATGTCTCATTTAAAATAAACAGTTGACATCTACTTCCGACTCTGGTATAACCGGAAGTGCCACCATCTTGAAAATATTTTAGCCGGGTTGCCCCCATTGACATTAGTATACTGTTAAATTTTCTGCATAGAGTTTTTCACATATAGATTGATGTGATTCCTGGTGGGAAACCCTGTATTTGCCAATTGTATTTCAGTTGTTTAAGTTTAATTTCAGAAAGTGTTATTTGTATTTCAACTTTGTCAGTTGTAGTTCAGAAAAGGTTATTGTATTTCAGAAATAGTAATTTGTATCTACTTCAGAAAACCTCATTTGTGTTTGAGATTATTCATTTGTAGATCAGAAATTGTAAATTTCAACAATGTAGTGTAATAAATAAAATTTATAATAGGTCACCTATACACCTAGCTTGCATGTTGATTTGGGAAAATCTGCGCAAATATCTGCGCTCGGCGCCCAAATTTCCATGCGCTTCACATTACATAGTATGTATTTCTTATACTCCTAATAAAATAAATATCTATTATTATCTGAAATAAAACTAATGATTTTTGAACTACATCTGACAAATTCTAAAATATAATTCACATTTTCTGAAATACAATCAACTAATTTAAAATACAATTGACGCTTTCCGAAATAAAATTAACTAATCTGAAATACACTTTACTCTGTTAGGCCGGGATTACCTAACTGCTGAGCCTACTCCTTGATTCTCAATACTTTATACATTATTCTTAATTCAGAAGAAGTTACTTAACAACATCTTTTTGAATAAGAGCGTTCATCCAAATGCTTATTTCCTAATTGAATTTCTGAGAACCACCTTGAAAAGTTTCCAACTTTTAACTTTTACAAATTAAGGAATATACAATACAATACAATACAAAAAGTTTATTCATGATATTCTATAATAGTTTTCCAAATTTAAATTATATACTCTTCACTCATACTCTTCAGAACATGCACAAACAAACCTGAAAACCCACAAAAGAAAACTTGTGCGTGGGTGTGCATCTGCCAATGCACCCTCAAAAGAGTCACAAATGAAAGCGACAAAATAAATAAGTAGGTACAACGATTATAATAAGGAACTTAATACAGAATGATTCACCTTAATTAAACTTTGTGAACTTCTACAGTTTACAATACAATACAATACATATAAGTACAAAAATGATGAGCTGTTTTACAGATAAAACGCAAATCTCTGGAATCACTAGACCAAGCACTAGATACAAATCAATAGTTTTTCATTTGATATGTTTTACTTCGCCTTTCACCAGACTACTGCAAATTTGGAATTTGAGGATTAGGGCTCGGGTTAGGGACCTCAAAAAATAAAAAAAAAAGCGTCAGACGGCTTCGTGGCGTCTGACGTCATCTCGGCCGTGATGGCATACGACAATTCTGATTGGTTTAATAATGACACATGCGCATCAACTTATGTATTCCCGTGTATTCCCATGTATTCCCAACTGTATTCCCACTTTTCCCCCTGGGCTAGAACTCTGTAACGAATAGAGATATTTTCTCTATCTCTATTAACGTCTCCTCTCTATTGATTTTGACAAGAAAGAAAAAGACAGCAAGTGCCATAGCAGTAGGGTCGGTAGGGATAACGATCCTTATCCGTTACAGAGTTCCAACAGTATTCCTAAGTATTCCCAAATAATATAAATGTATTCCTATGTATTCCCAACTGGTCATAAGTATTCCCATGTTATTCCCTCTAAAATGTCCAGGGATTCCCAGATGTGGTTGACCCCTCGCGATAGTCATATACAGGGTCTTAACTCCCAAGGAAGTCAAGGATTTCATAACTCCCGCGCGGGAGTTGAGGATATCATACCTCCCGCACGGGAGTTAGGGATTTCATAACTCCCAAGGGAGTTAAGGATTTTCATAACTCTCGTTTTTACCTTGAATAGGTGAAATTTTGACAAAAAATTTTGGTTTATGGTTTATTCCTTTATAAAAATGGACAAAATACAGCAAATTCAGTAGGAAATAAAATTATCTATGTACCACGGGAATTATCAGGTCTTAATACCCACAGGTAATTGGTGTCCCTCGGGCCGGGACACAAACTTTGCCCTGGGGTATTAACACCCTCATAATTCCCTTGATACATAATACATAAATAACTATATTGTTTAAATATTATTCATCGATTTTTAAGGTGAAATATTATAATAAATTCAGATGTCTTAAGCTATTATTATTATTTTTTTTTTTAAATTACATGATACTTAGGAAGGGATTTTCACGTTTTTCCCTATAACTATCAAAGATAAAAATATCAAACCGTATATCGTTAAAATAAGGTTGAAAGGGACTAACAAATAAGCGCACAATATACAGGGTGTTCCGTTTGAAAAAATATAACTTCACACTGCTGTACTTCTTTGACGCACCCTGTATGCCTAAAACTGACTTAGTTCAAAACTTTTGACAATTTCTTGAAACTTTTGCATATTTCATTTCTGTCAAAAACGTCAAATAAAAAAGTTAGAAGGGGTGACATTCATAATGGATCACCCTGTACCTGGCGATTGTCTATATTTTTGCACCCACATCTATCTCACCTGATTGAAGAGACAGATACCCAGAAAAAATGTCAAATGTGGAAGTTGTATTTATATCAGAAAATTTTCAATGATGTTAGTTACAAGTATACAGGGTGTGTCACAAAAGTGTGGTGAAGCAAAGTTATACTTTTTATAATGGGAAACCCGCATATTATTGTCCCAGTGGTTTAACCTTTCAAACCTGATTCCAAATATTTTTATTGAGAAAAAAAAATATATATATATATATTTTTAAAGAGAAAGAGACCACCAACAAAATATAAAGGTAATCATTCATGTAAAAAATCCATATTATTTCTCCAAAATTGGATATTCAGAGGCTGGACTATGAGGAATAAACCTAAAAAACCTAGGTTTGGAAGGCTAATTTAATGAAACAATTATATACGGACTTTTCCATTTAAAAAAATATAACTTTGCTTCGCCAAACTTTTGTGACACACCCTGTATACTTGCAACTCTTTACGTTTCTGGTAATAAAGAAACCGTTTTCAAAAAATTTTACTTTAATTGAAAACTACAAGTTTAAAATATAGAAGCAAAAATACGTGTGAACAGCTCGAAGGCTATGTCTAATCTAAAAATTAAAAGTTTATTCCCATGGGGCATCCTGGTTTCAAAGATACACAATTCTCAGGAAACTGCTTACATCATTGAAAACTTTCTGATATTTCCTACAACTTTCACATTTTACATTTCTGGGTAGCAGGTGAGATAGGTGTGGGAGCAAAATATAGACAATCGCTCGGTACATAAAACAGTGTATACACCTCAGGACTAAAGTGTTTTTTAATCTTTCAACAAATTATATATGAACTTTTTGTCTCAAGATTAAAAGTACCACTTTGAGTGTATAATGTACTATTATTCAAACATTGTTTAATAATGTTTTATTATTTTAAGGAACCCTGCAAGCAAATACCAGGCATTTTTTGGTACCTTGTCCAAATACCTGTTAAAAGTGATATTTTTTTTGTTCATTTAATAAAACACAAAATACTTACAATGGTTTTGTTTTTTTTTTTTTTATTTAAAATTAAGTTATTTGTTTTAAAAATACACGTTTTATTTTTTTTTTGGATAACTAACACTGGTTTTTCCTATACGAAAAACAAACAAACAAAAAAATACAAATATAAAGGGCTGTTTTCTTTGTTGACATTCTCCAAAAAATACTTTTAGTATTTATTTCTCCAACATAAGAGTCAGTCTTGATAAAAACAATTAAAAAAGAAAAGTATAATACAATTATTTAAAAAACTATGTAAGTATGTATACAATTTGTGTCTAAAATTAAAAATAAATCAGACTTAAAAACTATTAAGCCTAATAATTAAAATATAAGACAATGCAAGTGAATATTTACACAGTGGAGACAATAAAGTGGTATAAAAAGCAAAAAAAAAAAGATAAAAAATTGAGAATCACAGTTAAACGATTTTCATAAAGATGCATTAAAATTCACTTGCATCTTTACCCTGTTCTAAAACAATATTTTGATTTTTTGAAAAAAAAAATTAAACATACTATGTACTTCAATGATTAAAATTCCAACAATAAATTAATTTACTTACCCTAACAAAATTGAAGAATGTTCCCCATTATTTTATATAAAGAAAACGTATAACGTTGGCAGTGAATAAAGGTGGCAGTTATAAAAAATGGAGGTTAATCGTTGCTTGTTTTGTGACACTAATAATTATTACCTAATTAAACTGACTATACAAAATTGATCGTTTGGGTAGAAAGTAGAAAGACTTGATGTTACCATTTAAAAAATTCTTTGATAGAAAACAATATAGCCAGTTTAACAACATATACACTAAACAAATCAAGTCATACCCTGAGATTTGTCTTCTGGACCCTTCCATTCGATTAAACATTCCAACTTGCCTGTTGGTCCGATTCTTCTGGCTTTAAGCGAATACCGCTCGCCTCCCACTATCCTATAAGCAGCGCCAAAATACATGCTAACTGAAGTTTTCAATTCGTCCAAGTCGATTGCAGGCTCAGTTTTCACCGGACTCGGTTTTGGGCTGATTTGTTTGGAGGTTGATGCTTGCTGTTCTTTGTCTGGTAATCTTTCAGGTAGTGGACGCAAACGACGCGTGTGCGTGTTAAGTGTATAATCCACATGATTACCTGAGAATTTTGCTGGGTTTTGTAATAGGAATTATTTTAAAATTTAATAATCAGCTGCTGTTTTGATGCAAAGTACGAAAACCAGAATCCAACTTTTCATATTGAAATTAATCCTCTGATCTAATGCAACTGCTACTGCTAAGTACAAGAACTAGTTCGGGTGGGTCGACAATTGGCGCCAGAGAGTGACGACAAATAGTCGAGTATACAAAATTCATTGCAAATGTTGTTGGGGCCAAGAGGCTTAAGAAGAGAGTAACTGAAAATGGTGATAGTATCTGTGTAAACACTGAATCATTCCAAGGAAAAGTGATTCCAAGGTCAGTAAACCTATAGTTCATACCAAATAAACTTATAGTCGGGTTGTCAAGCTCGGCCGGCACAGCGTTGCCGTCTACTGCATATTTTCCTTTGCTCAAAATATTTTCAGAATTAATAATGGAATATATTATAATGTAATGCAAACATTTATTACTTAAATTATAAACATTGTTTCAAAGTTTGGTTTAATAGATATTTAATAACAACACATTTGTCAATCATCACATAAAATATAATAGTAACGCTCAGTACCTTTTTTATTTACAGCCACTCTAAATACTGTAAATATTGAAATATTACGAATATTTGAACCATTAAGAATATTTTCAATTATTCTAGATCACTGAAATCGCTAGAATCTTCATCAAAATTGATGATAAGTGGAAGAACCTCTTGCCTGTCCATTACTTGTTTCCTATTACACCACTCGTCAATTATTCCTTCTGTATGTCTTACAGAATTTTTCCACATTTCAGGGGTAACAGACGTAACAGTTTCCAGTGCCTCTCGCCACATTCTTGAACAAGCATCTTGAGTATAACCATCTCTGCCAATATTTCGGTTGTAATACTTTTTTGCAATTCCACAAATAAGTTTAATCGGGTTAAAAGTACAGTGGTATGGAGGTAGTCGTGAAACTTTATGTCCATATTGTTCTGCCAAGTCATCTTCCACATACTTTTTTGTTGGTTTATTCCTGAAAAAGCAATACTTGGGAAGTTGAGCATGAAATGCATACAACTTCGGTATTGTAGGTACTAACCGTGCAAGAATTGTCACAAGTTCAGATTTCAAGGCTGTATTTGGATACTCAACTTTCTGTTTGGTTAACCAATTTTGAATTTCAGCCTTAGTAGACGAACTATTAGGTGTCTTCGTTAATAACATGCTGTGGTAAGGAGCCTTGCCTATAACAATAACAGATGGTTCACTCAAGTTCTTCAACAGAATCCATTTTCATTGCCAGCATGAAGTATGATATCTAAAAAAAAGCATTTCATTTGTACATATAATACAACTGCTCTCTGTATTCATGTTTATATTCACCTTTTACCATCAACTTTGGTAGTATTAACACTTCGCTTGTTGTTGTCTTGCCACGAGCGGTTAATAGTACCATTTTGAAAAATCCAAGTTTTGTCCAAGAAAATAAACTGGTGCAAGGCCTCCTGTTTCAGTCTTAGATAAGACCTCAAAAATGATATGCGTTTAACAGCAATATCAGGAAGTTCCATGAGCCCTCGTCTTGGGTCATCTTTTTTTCCATTTGAAGCCTATTTCTTTTAACATTCCACTCAATGACATGTGACTGCCATCAAATAATTGTTTGGCTTTCAATTGCTCCCATATACAAGATAATGCTACATGTTGTCCTACAAGAAGAAAGAAGGCAATTCATAAATATCTATGTACCTTTGTCTCAAACGATTTACTTTTTGTATAGATATCGTAAATAGTGTTACGTATAGCACTGCTATCGGATTTGAAACATCACAGACTCTCTTCGAAGTGCATCGCTTCTTAGAAGGCGATTCCAAAACATCGTTATTTTTGACTGCCTTTGAAATAGCAAGACAGTGGACATACCTAAGTCCAAAGCCTCTACTACGCGCTAAAAATGAGAGAAAATAAAGTTCAAATTGAAAATATCTATTCGGTCACACATCAACGTCTTGTAAACTCACCTTCCTAACAGCATTTAGGCCATAAAGGGCCATTATTATCGCGTTCTCGATGGAAATATTGTATCAAGGATGCGATTAGTTTTTTGCAACGGCTGTTAAGCTGCTTCGGCATCTTGTACACTTCACACTACAAGTTGCTTTGAAAAACTAGTTCACAATTAATAACACTTGAACCAAAAACTCGTAAACTATCAAAATTTTAAATGTCAAGAATTTAATTTGGCAACATTACATTTTTTGAAGTGGTGTTACCAACTGAATGGCCAGCGGGAAATTCAAATTCCAATTAAGTCAATCTGACGTCGAATATTTCCACGGTTGGCGATAACGATTTGGAAAATGGCGTCATAGATGTGACAACTACAAGTTTATTTGGTATGAACTATAGATTAATTTCTGTGATGTAATTATCGGAGTCTATATAAGTCCAGTATTGATGTGTTTCAAATGTTTAAGATATGGCCATATGAGGAAAGGGCCTGCTTATACTGCAACATGAAACATAAAACCACTGACAGACAATGCAAGGAGTACCTGAGACAAAAAGCAATTAAAACTACAATGATAACAGAAAACATCTCCTATTTTGAAGCAAGGAATAATCAATCAAAAGGAGATAAAAATATAGGACAGAGTTGGATCATCGAGACTTTCCAGTTCTGAATCCTACAAGAAGAGCTTCAGAAGCCAGTAGACCAATTAAAGTGAATCAGAAACATTTATACATATCAACCCAAAAGGTAAACCACCATCCCAGAATTTGTGCAAACAATTCTTCAGTAGAAAATAGCATTATGAAGAATCTTGGAAATTTACTCACAAAATCTGAACTAATTGAAAATACAGTCTCATACATTTCAAAGTTTTCCTGGAATATTAGTGAAGAGAAAAATTTGAAACTTTTTGTATGTGAAGAGAAAGGTTAGAGACTTTTTTTCCCAAAATTTCAAATTTTTCCATTGGAAAATAATATGAAAAATCATGGAAATCAACATACAAAAACTGAACACAATCTCACACAATTCAATTCCTTGAAAAACTAATTACTTGAGGGAAAATTTTGAAACTTCTTGCATATGAAGAGGAACGTGAGAAGCTCATTTTCCCAAAGTTTCAAATTTTTCCAGCGGAAAATAACAACATGAAAAATCTTGGAAATCAACCTACAATAACTGAATTAATTGATGATATAGTCTCACATATTTCAAAGTTTTGCTGGAAAACTAATAAAGGGAAAATTTTGAAACTTTTTGTATGTGAAGAGGAAGGTTAGAAGCTCATTTTCCCAAAATTTCAATTTTTTCCAGTGGAAAATAGCAACATGGAGAAGCTTGGAAATCAACCTACAAAAACTGAACTTAATGAAAATACAGTCTCACACATTTCAGAGTTTTCCTGGAATACTAGTGAAGGGAAAATTTTGAAACTTTTTGCATGTGAAGAGGAAGGTTAGAGACACATTTTTCCAAAATTTAAAATTTTCCAGTGGAAAATAACAACATAAAGAATCTTGGAAATCAACTTACAATAACTGAATTAAATAAAAATACTGTTTCACACAATTCAAAGTTTTCCTGGAAAACTATTGAACGGAAAAATTTGAAACTTTTTGCATATGAAGAGGAAGGTTCGAGGCTCATTTTCCCATAATTTCAAATTTTTCCATTGGAAACATGAAAAATTAATGGAAATCAGCTTACAAAAACTTAAATGTTAATACTAATACAGTCTCACATAATTCAAAGTTTTCCTGGAAAACTAATTAAGGGAAAATTTTGAAATTTTATGCCTGTGAAGAGGAAGGTTAGAAGCTCATTTTCCCAGAATTTCAAATTATTCCAGTAGAAAACAACGACATAAGGAATCTTGGGAATCAACCTACAAAAACTGAATTAGTTGAAAATACCGTCTCAAACATTTCAAAGTTTTCCTGGAAAACTAATGAATGGAAAACTTTGGAACTTTTTGCATGTGAAGAGGAACGGTAGAAGCTCATTTTCCCAAAATTTTAAATTTTTCCAGTGGAAAATACCAACATAAAGAATCTTGGCAATTAACCTACAAAAACTGAATTAGTTGAAAATACCGTCTCAAACATTTCAAAGTTTTCCTGGAAAACTAATGAATGGAAAAATTTGGAACTTTTTGCATGTTCTGAGGAAGGTTAGAAGCTGATTTTCCCCAAATTTCGGATTTTTCCAGCAGAAAATAACAACATGAAAAATCTTGGAAATCATTTTACAAAAACTGAATTAATTGAAAATTCAGTCTCACACATTTCAAAGTTTTCCTGGAAAACTAGCGAAGGGAAAAATTTAAAACTTTTTACATATGAAGAGGAAGGGTAGAAGCTCATTTTCCCAAAATTTCAAATTTTTCCAGTAGAAAATAACAACATGAAAAATCTTGGGAATCAACCTACAATAACTGAAACATGGAAAATACCTCAGAAAATACAGTCTCACACATTTCAAAGTTTTCCTGGAATACTAGTGAAGGGAAAAATTTGAAACTTTTTGCAGGTAAAGAGGATTTTCCTAAAATTTCAAATTTTTCCAGTGGAAAATAACGACATGAAGAATCTTGGAAATCAGCCTATAAAAACTATCCCATATTTTTTTGAAGTTTTTGAATTTGGACCTGTAAATCATGAAGTGAAATTATGGGAGATTTTTTTTTAAAAAAATGAATGTCCAACGTCCAATAAAAAATTAGATTTTTTTTCCTTTAATAAGTGTTTCTTATGATAAGAATGTGAACCTCAGTGACGTCATGACCCTACAATTTCCTTTAAATTCCTCACAAATTCTTCCAAGTTCCCCATAAATTTCTCCAAATTTCCTATAAACTCCCCAAATTATCATAAATTCCGATGAGTTCCTTTAAATTCCTCTGAAATCCCTACATTTTGGGCAATGAATTCCTAGGTGGTTTGCCCCTTGTATCAGCCCCTACGACTCCAAAAAAAAACTATCATATGCTTCGGCTGCATGTAACCTGAAAAGCAAAAAACCCTGTTCGCCAGGGTATGACAGAGAAATTCACAAAAAATGTCTGATTCCTGCTCCCACTAAAAAGCCTACTCAAAGGAATACAAGGGAAGACTCGTCAGTTGGTAGTACCTGCTCATGCAGCCAACACCAATAAGGTTGTCAAACAATTTATTGGCAAGACAGTTTTGATGAAATATCTAATTATGGAAGAAATCCAGAATGCAACCCAGGAATTTGGGGGGATCCGATTAGACAATCAATACCTTTTGGAAGCTAATGTATATGAATTTTATTATGAACAAACCCAACATGAAAATGGACCTTTTAACTTCTTTAACATTTTTTTTTTTTTAAATGTTTATGAAAAGGTCTGTAGGGTATTCTTGATCTTGATGAAAATTACAGAAGTTAAAGGGTCCATTTTTCAAAATAATTGGGAATAATACAAAAGCAATGATATAAAAAAACGGGGGCCTTAAGGGCACTAGTGTAATAATAAAATATCTTCAAAAATACACCCACCAAGTTTGACTAACCCTCCGCCAAACACCCTGTATAATGTTCAAAAACGAAAAATCATTGTATATTTCAAGTCGACTGAATTTATAAGTTGCTGTATATAAATCCAAATTTGGCCAGTTGTCAAATAAAAATTAATATGCCAAATCACAAGTGAACACAACTGTACTTACCTAATTGGTTAGAGTCAATGGGTTTAGCGGGCATAACTGCTGCAGTTTTACTAGCAGTTTGACCGACCCCGTAATTGACAACTTTCTGATTCTGTTGTCGTCTGCTTCTCTTCTTTCTCTTGACCTCGCCGTTCGGCCCGACGATTATATCTTTCTCGCTCAGCTGACGTTTCATTGGTCTCATTACAGGTTCACCTAAAAAAGAAACAAAGCCTTATAATATGCAATATGTATATTATACTTGAGGTACATGGAGAATTTGGAAACTATTGAAGAAAAATTCTCACCTGGTATCACAGTTTTGAGAGGTAGCGGCAGTGTTATTTCCTTGCCCTTCTTTTTCTTGTTCGCATCCTCGGTGCCTATTCTCATAAGGGTCAAAAACGGATTATTCTTGCCTTCAAAGTCTTTTGGGGGCGGTATTATTAAATCTAACGTGCTTTTAGAGGAAGTCTCATCGCTTGAAGTGTCACAAGGAGTGTTTATATCCAAATCAATCACGTTTTTCTTTTTCGTTTGAATTTTTGTCTGGCCAGAACCTTCAGAAAACTCGTTGCTGCAATCTGATTGGTGCGTAGAAGCTGGAGGTGTAGGAGGCGCAGATACACTAGTAGGAGGTGTAGGGGGCATTTCTATGGAGGGTTTTTGATCTTCAGGCTCTTTGGCGGTATTGACAAGGCGGCGGGGTCTTTTCAAAATACGTTCGCGTTCCCGATTGGTCATTGCCAGTAGTTTTTTGCGACGTTGCAGGCTCATTTTTTTGAAGGGGGCTGTTTTTTTCGCGCAGCCCGCCCCCAGGTATTGGTCTTTGTTGTTTGGTAATTTGGTTGTTGCAAGGGATGGTGGAAGTGGGACAACCTAGAATAAGAGTGATTAAAAATGGCTAAAAACATGTCAACAATACAACACAAACTGTTGAGCAAACGTTTTGAAGTTAAACTTGAGTGGTTTAATAGCACAAATAACTATTATGTTATACATCAAAATAATTGAATATATCATCTTTATGCGGCAGTTGAAGAGAAACTAATTTAAAACACAACAAAAACCCTAAACTGAAACTGATAAGGTAAAATAATCATTTATTGTTGATAAACTGGGTACCAAATTGAAACGAAAAAATGAAATGTGATGTCTGCAGAGGAAAAATTTTTGAGCCGCAACAACATAGCTTTTATTGCTGGAAGACAGAAACAAATCACATTGCCTTGTCCTTATTAGCAACAAATTGTCCAAATATTGTCAAATTGATAACTTAAATTACCAGAAAAGGACCAATTTTGGATAAACATCTCACTCAAGCAAAGAAATATCAGAAGATTAAGAGGTATTAATAGCAAAGATAAAATAGAATAACCACAGAAGAGCGAATAAATAAACAGATATATAAATATGTGACGAAGAAAGAAGAAAAACCCCCTAGAACATACATTATCTTAGAATTGGATCATTAAACCTATAAACAAATAAAAGATAGAAGAACAATTAACATAGGGTGGAGAAGCTGCTATTTTGTGGACCATGTTTTATTTGTTCGCTTCCATATTTCCCTAATTAGAGAATTCAAAAAAAAAATAAAAATTCAAGAGCCTGGAATAGAAACATAGTTCTTACCCTTTCTTCCTTTTCAATCTCGGGACTAGAACATGGCGATTCAGTTTCACTATGATTGCTAGCTTGCTGATAAGCCACCCCCAACATAAGATTTCTCATAACTGTATCAGATTGGACAATTTTCCTGCCATTCGGACAAGAAAGTGGACATAAAAATTGCAACCGCCTATTTCCTTGCCAAAACTCTTTTAATTCTGCTTCTGTAATTCTTCTGTGAGGTGGAGGCAAATCACCATCAGGAGCAGGAGGTGGTAGTCTTACTCTTAAACCCCATATTGTAGTACGTTTTTTGATTTCTCTGCCACACTTGAATCTGTTTCTGTTGTTTGTTAGCATTGACAAAATATGCTCTCGACGTTCTGAGTTTGTAACATTTGCCATCTAAAACATGCAACATATTTTTATTAGTTGTTTTTTTTGTTAATAGTCACTATTAACCTTTGGTGGTAGCTGTAAAGCATGCCAATTATCACTAATATAAGGAATCACGACGCTGTCCAAATCGTAATACTTTTTGCAATGGTGCACTGTCAAATTGTATAGCATCAAGTGCACCAAATCCACCCATTTTATTTCCAATCTTCTGACGAATTCTTTGTTGTGATTGCAAATTGCACACACAAACACATAAAACCTAAAGTAAAAAGTCAATTAAATCCTCCTAGTAAGAATAATAGTATCTTACCTGTCTCCGCAATATAAAGGAAATTGCAAACTGTCAATGCACTTTTCGTGAAACCATTGTTTGCAGCGCCAGCACTGCAACATTTGCTTGTACCACTCTCCAGTGGTACCACAATAACAGTAGATTTGCTCGGTATTGACGCGATGATATGTATCCCAGTTTAATGAGCTTAACTAAAAAATTATAATTATACAACAAGAAGCTTTTAAAAACATAAAAATGTCATTACTGGCTACAAGAGAAAACAAGGGATTAAATATATTTGTAATAAATGCTTACATCATAAGATAATACTTTGGGTGTTGTAGAAGAAGGCATAAGTTCCTGAGTAGTAGAACCAGTAGAGTTTCTAGAGTCTCTTCTAAATGGTGGCTTGGAATCGCTTTTTCTCAGTCTATTTGGATCGATGTCTGTGCATCTTTTGCATATCCAATTATTGGAATCTAAAATTTTGAAACTAGAAGTGGCAATTTTGAAATTTTATATGGCAATTTTACCTTCTTTTTGACTAGTAGTTATTTCAGGCTGATGACATTTCTTGTGATAACCTCTACCGCACCGATCACAAACGCTAATTAATTTATCGCTTTTTGGTGAGGTTTTTTTGCAAATTACACAAAGTAAGTCTTCTTGCTCTAATCCTAATTGAACAAAATTTAGAAAATTGCCTATGGGTATAATTGCACCAAAAATTACCTGTACTTAGTTTGGTCAAATCCTTAAAAATTGACCAATGTTGCGTGTTATCTCCATATTTGATTAAACATTGTTCCCTGACAATGTCCACTTCAACTATCGTACCCAAATAATACCTTTAAAAATCCCATTTAAAATCATCAATAATTCATAAAGCATAAAATTTTTACCTTCCATCTTTTTGCTTGGCCAACACCTCTTGGCCCTGATTAAAATCAGCAACATTTTGTTGCGTGGTGGTGCTGTCAGGGGTCACCTCGTCCAGACATTTTTTGGGGAGATGGTAATTTGAAGCTTTTTGTACTGAAGTCATTTTTGACTACAGAACCTGTAAGTACAAAAAAAAATATATGTATAATGTGATTTGAGAATCATTTGAGCTACAAGATTTTTTCCAAATTTGTGTATTTTTGGTGTTCTTGCTTCCAGAGGATAATCAAATCAGTTACATTATGTAGTGGTGACTGATTAACACTTATATTATTATGATAGTTGTTGTCCTCCTTCACATAAATAAGGCTTCTCTATGAAAAAATATAGACTTTATATTCTATACTTCACTTAACAAAGCTTTCCAAAGAAAATTATTATTATTTATACACTGTGACGATATTTAGGCATTAAGGTTTCATGTAGTAGGTAAGTTGATTTCTTAAGTTGTCCATTTCTTTATCCAGCGCGTTCTTGAAGGCGTTGACAGTTGGTGCATTTATAGTAGATCCCTGAAGGCTGTTCCATCTGTATACAACTCTATTGCTCAAAAAGTTCCTTCTCAAAAGCACAGCAGATCTTTCTTTGTTGAGTTTCTTTGAGTGGTAGCATAGGTCTCATGTATGAGAAATTTGGAAGAGTGCCAGATCAATTTTTGGGCTGAAATAATCTGTTAGTACTTCAATAAGACCACCTCTTTCTTGTCTTTCTCTTAGTGTTCTTAGTCCGAATATTTCAAGGCGTTCACGGTATGGTAGGTGGCTCACTTCTGAAGGTATCTTGATGATTCTCCTTTGGACTCGTTCGATAATATATGTCTTTTATATAGTAGGGGTTCCACACAGCATGGGCATATTCCAGCTAAGGATGCCCAAAGGTTTTTTAAAGGCATGTTATCATTTCCACTGAGTGGTCACTAAAAGCTCTCTTCATTAAGTACACTAGGGTGTTAGCTTTTTTAGTCATGCATACAATGTGAGGCTCTCATCTTAAGAGAGCTAATAGAAAAACAAATACGAAACATTTTTTTAGATTCCGTGGTTTATTTCCTTCAATTTGATACCCCCACAACCCATATTTTTGGAGCTCAATTTTTTTTATGATGATAGGGGACATAGGGGGGTAATAGGGGAAGTAAGGGAGGGTCCTATTATTTTATTAGTAGAGTCTACATATCAATTTTCAAACATCTGTAACTTTTCTTTTCCGAGATAAAGAAAATCCCTTTATCCTCTTTCAAAATAAAATTACCCCTATTTCTCCGCCCCCAGTTAAAATTTCAAAAAACTCTGAAATACGTGTTCACTTATTTTTTTGGTAGAATCTATATGCTAATTTTCAGATCTTTGAGGCTGAGAAGTGAGAGTTTTCGAGATACAGAAATCCTCTATAATATTTCAACCTCTATTCTAACCCCCTTGGGAGTGAAATTTTCAAAAATCCTTTCTTAGCGAGAGCCTACGTCATAAACCCAATACGTGGGTAAATGCAAACAGGGTGAATTGGAGACACTTATCAAAAGTATGGTAAATAATATATTACATTGTAGAAGTAGAAAATATTCCAAATGTTTGAATTTGCCCCAACGCTTGATCATTTCTTTTGAATAGATGAATATGAGGGGTGGTTAACTGGTCAAAATCCGTGTACAAGTTGATCAAAATCCCAGAAAATCTCATTAGATCTACTCAAAATCCCACAAAATTTCTTGAAATTGCATAAAATCCTACAAAATCTAACAAAATTTCATTAAAACCAAAAAAATCCTGCAAAATTTCATAAAATCATTAACATTCCTAAAAAATATTTCCTTTGAAATTCCCAAAAATCGGTTAGTCTCTCAGAATTTCATAATTTAGTCGAATTTCGGTAGAATTATGTTATTCTGAGAAAAGAATTATGTGTGAAATTTTTGCGGAGTTTCCATAGAATTCAAATTAAATTTTAGTTCCTCTCGAATTACATGAAATTTCAGTGAAATTCCGATCGAATTACACGAAATCCTAAATGAATTGCACGGAGGAATTCTAAACAATTTATGAAATTACACTGAAATTCCCATACCAGAAAATTCCATAAGTGGAATGCCGAGGAATTTCCGCCTAAAAACATGGAATTTCGGTGATATTCCGAAAAATTCCCATGTAATGACATGAAATTTCAATATATTTATGTGAATTTTCAAGAAATTACTTGAAGTTTCATTAATATTCCCAGAAATTCCTGGCTATTAAAAGAGAATTTCAGTGAAATTCCAAAAAATTCTTATGGAAATATATGAAATTTTGAAAAATTCCTTGAGGTTTCATTGGACTTTCGAGAAATCTTCAACTATGAATGTGGAATTTCAAAATATTCTCATAAAATTTTAGTGAATTCCGAGGAATTTTCAGGAAATTACATGAAATGTCAATGAAATTCCGAAAAATTTTATGAAAATTTTGTGGAATTCCAGGATATTTCAGTGGTGAAGTTTTGGGGAATTTCAGTAAAGTTTTAAAAAAAATTATGGAATTTCTATAGAATTTTGGAGAGTTTCAGTGGGATTTCGAAAAAAAATATGAAATATTCGCAGAATTTCCATCAAGTTATATATAATTTCACTTTGTATCGACTTACATAAAATTTCGATATACATGGAATTTCATATTCCTTGAAATCTTATTATGGAATTCCAGTGAAATTACATCGAATCCGAAGAATTCCCTTGGAATTAAACAGAATTTCCATGGAACCACGAGAAATTTCGACGGAATTCCGAAGAACTGAATTAAATTTTAGAAATTTTGAGTAATTTCTTTGGAATTACATAAAATTTAAATGGAATTCCGAGAAATTTCATGAAATCTATTACTGTAATTCCAAGGAATTTTTATACAAGAATTTCATTGAATTTTATGGTGGAATTCAATAGAATAATATGATGAAATTCCGAAAAGTATTATGAAATCCTATAGAAATATGTCTAGGAGTTTCCGTTTTTCCATTCAAATTTGTTATTTGAATTTAGAATCTCTAAAAACATTTCAAAAACCCCTAAAATGCTCCAGGATCACCTATAATTTTGAAAATCTAAAATCTTCTGAACTCCTGTAAAATCGTGTAAAGATTTTCAAAATCCTCGAAATCCTACAAAATCAATGAAGATTTAAAACCTGTGTATTTATTTTAAGGAGTTAACCACCCCTTGGATGAATAAAATAATTTCAAGAGCTGGTTATTTTCAAAAAAATCCTGGGGTGATTGAAAACATCCCATTATATTTAAAAAAGGTCAAGTCAAATGGGTATAAATATAGGATAATCAGGCCTATGATGTATCATTCTCTGTTATTTTAACAGCAATATTATTTATTAATTTTAAGTTATCTGTCACTCCTTATTCTAGACCTTCTATACCTCAAAATAGAGACAGCAATAGATGTTGAACTATAACACAGCCGTTAAAATAACAGGACCCGATACATCATAGGCCTGAATGTTCCAATAATATGCCCTCGTTGTAAAATGCCATTTTTAATATAAAAAATGGTAACTCCTGTACAGGGTGTTCATTTTAAAACTTACCACCCCTATTCCCATTTAAGATTTTCTAGGGGGTGGCTCCGGGGGTTGAAAAGGGAAAAGTGAATTTTGCATAAAAACTCATCCCCCTTCAAATTATAGTTGATGTGTTTCAGGGATTTTTTTGAAAATTTTTCAACTCCGAGATAATAGGGAGATGGTAAGTTTCAAAATGAACACCCTATACAGGGTGATTGATGGTCGATGGAAGGTTAGACGTTTATGGAAAACGGAATGCTGAATATTTTTGAAAATTTGCATGCCCAAGTAATTGCTCCTGATCTATCTTTCTAAAATAATTTCAACGATGCGACGTTGCCGCTTATACCAAAAAGTAATATGAACTTTGAAATTTTAAATGATACACCCAATGTATATTATTGCATTTTTCGCTCCGCTATTACTTTCTGATCATTTTTGTATAATACTGTCCTATACCTATTTCTAGTGATTTTCGACTTATTAATTAATTTCTTTATTTTTTCTTCAAAACATTGCTCTAGGTAAATTTGTATTACTACGTCCCTGAGATTCGTAGAAAGTTCAAATTTTGGAGATAACTTAGGGAGGTCCTGCATATTACTTTTGAGCAAGAAAATTTGTTCTACATTATACAGGGTGGGTCAAAATTAGTAATTGTGCTGCCAGGTACAAAAAAGATGAAAAGTGCACTTTTTTAAATAGAACACCCTGTATATTATGAAATATTATGAAAAGCAATTAAAATCCCTTACAAATGATGTATCATGTTCCTATACCTAAATAGTAAGGTTTCGGAAATACAGGCAAGTTTCTGAAAAATAGTAAATTGACAGTGTCTACATCTGTCATTGACATTACTTTATGCACTAGTGTGTGAAGTGAAATTTAACGTCTTCGCAATATTGCATAAAGTGAGTACTTTACGTGAGGTAGTAAAGAAAATACTGTCACAACCTATTTTGTTCCAACTGGAGGTTTGGGATCTTTTTTTCCTTGGATTGGATTATTTCGGGATATTTTTCTAATGGCGTTTCCAATTAGTAGATTTAATTCACACTGAGTATATTTTCATCTCTTTCTCTCAGCCTGTTGTAAAAACAGATAGAAATACATTTTCTTTACACTCATTCTACCAACCCGAATCGTCATTTAATAGCTATGTCACGATGAAAAATATTAGGTAATTCAAACGATACAAACCACATGATTTTCTAAAATGGCAGGTGATTGCAAATATTGAAACAGTTCATTGATTGGAACCATGGTTATTATCTAGGATTTAAAACAAATGCATAAAATGGTCCACTTTTTACAATATGTGATATGCAAAAATATTGTCATTGTTTTGTTTTTGTCTCTTTCCTACTCACGGTGTTTTTGACAGTTCAATCCAATGACGTCATAAAAGTCTTCGGTATTATAGGCATCTATGGAAGTTGTCCATACATTTTACCATGACTATTTTCCTCCTGGTAATTTTGACCAATCAGAAGTGATAATTTTGGTGTCAAAAATAATTTTTAATTAAAAAAATAGCCTGCCATTAGCTATTATTTGTTTTTTTTTGGCACGG